GGAGGAGGAAGGGCAGGAAGGGATCGGAGGACGAAGCCCTCGAGGACAGCGACGACGGCGACTTCGAGGGGCAGGAGGTGGATTACATGTCCGATGGCTCCAGGTGGGGCATTCTGGGGGGTTTGGGAACATTCTGGGGGGTTTGGAGGGGATTTGGGGAGTTTGGAGGGGATTTGGGGGGTTTTTGGACGTTTTGGGGGATGCTGGGTGGGTCTGGGGGATTTGGGGGGTGCCTGGAGGGATTTAGGGGGACTTTGGGGGTCCCTGAGTGGGTTCAGGGGGGATGTGGGGGTCCCTGAGTGGGTTCAGGAGGGATTTGGGGAGGATTTGGGGGTCCCTGGGGGTCTGGGGGGGTTGGAATCCTCCCAGGACCCCCAAAGCCCCTGACCCCGTCCCCCGTCCCGCAGCAGCTCCGGCGAGGAGGAGCCCGGCAAAGCCCAAGCGCCCAAGGAGGAGGAGGAAGGCCCCAAAGGTGGGGTGGGGAGGGGCTGGGGGGGGATTTGGGGGGTTTTTTGGGGGGCTCCGGGCCCTGAGGACCCCCAAACCCCCCCAGGCATCGACGAGGCGAGCGAGAGCAGCGAGGAGAGCGAGGAGGAGAAGGCGGAGGAGAAGGAGGAGGAGGAGGAGGGAAAAGCCACCCCCACCCCCCAGGAGAAGAAGAAGAAGAGGGGTGAGACCCCCCCCTCCCCCTCCCCGGATGGATTTTGGGGTGAAACGCCCCAAAAATGGGGTTTGTGACGTCATCAACCCCCCAGAGAGCAGCGACGAGTCGCAGACGTCGGAGGAGAGCGACATCGACAGCGAAGCCAACTCGGCGCTCTTCATGGCGGTCAGGGGGCGCGGGGGTCCCTGGGGGGGGTCTGGGGGGTTCCTGGGTGGGGCTTGGGGGGGGTTTGGGGGGGGTTTGGGGGTCCCTGGAGGGGTCTGGGGGGAGGTTTGGGGGCTTTGGGGGTCCCTGTAGGGGGGTTTGGGGGGGTTTTGGGTCCCACAGAAGGATTAGGGGTGATTCAAGGGGGTCCTGGGAAGGATTTGGGGGGGGTTTGGGGGGTGCTAGGAAGGGTTTTGGGTGTTCCCGGAGGTTTTTAGGGGGTCCTGGGAGGACTGAGGGGTCCTGGGGACTTTTGGGGAGTCCTGAGGGGGTCCCACAGAAGGATGGGGGGCAGTTTTGGGGGTCCCACGGAAGGATGTGGGACAGTTTTGGGGGTCCCACAGTGGAACTGACCCCCTGTTTCTCCCCCAGAAGAAGAAGACGCCCCCCAAGCGCGAGCGCCGGGCCTCGGGGGGCAGCTCCCGGGGGGGCTCCCGGCCCGGGACCCCCCCCACGGACCCGGGGGGCACCGGGGGCACCCTGAGGGCGGCGGCGGCCAGGCTGGAGCAGGGTGGGGGTCCGGGGGGGGGTCTGGGGGGGTCCGGGGGTCCCTGGGGGGGTCGGGGGAGGTCTGAGGGGGTTTGGGGGGTCCTGGGGGGGTCCTGGGAGGTTTGGGGGGGTCCTGGGGGCGGTTTGGGGTCCCGGGCAGGGTTTGGTGGGGGTCCAGGGGGTCCCTGGGGGGGGGGGGGGGGTCAAGAGTGTCTGGGGGGGGTTTGGGGATCTGGGGGGGGGCTTGAGTGGTCTTAGGGTGAATTTTTGGGGGGTGGGGGGGTTTGGGGGGGTCTCAGGATGGATTTTGGGGGTCTCAGGATGGATTTTGGGGGTCTCAGGATGGATTTTGGGGGGTGGGGGGGGTTTGGGGGGGGGGTCTCAGGATGGATTTTGGGGGGTGGGGGGGTTTGGGGGGGTCCCGGGGCCGTTTGGGGCGGGGTCAATCCCCCTCCCGCCCCCCCAGGACCCCCCTGATCCCCTTTTCCCCCCCTCAGGCCGCCGGGCAGCCCCGGGGGGGTCGGAGCCCCCCCAGAAGCGGCTGAAGGCAGAGCCGGGACCCCCCCCAGGAAAAGGGACGGCCCAGAGCCACCCCGGGAAGTGCGCGGCCAGCAGCGGGTGGGTCTGGGGGCTATGGGGGATGGGGGGGGGCAGCGGGTGGGTCTGGGGGCTCAGGGGGGGATGGGGGGGGCTGCAGAAGAGGACCCTGGACCTGCTGACCTCAGTGACCCTCTGACCCCACTGACCATCCCTGGCCCTGCTGACCCCAATGACCGCCCCCAACCCCTCTGAGCCCCCGGCTACACTGGCCCTTTGGCCCTGCTGACCCCAGTGACCCCTGTATGACCCCTGTGTGACCCCTGTGTGACCCTGTGACCCCTGTGTGACCCCTGTATGACCCCATGACCCCTGTATGACCCCTGTGACCCCTCTCTGACCCCCATCTGCCCCCAGGGAGGTGCAGCTGACGGAGGAGGCCGTGCGCCGGTACCTCTCCCGCAAGCCCATGACCCCTGTGTGACCCCTGACCCCTGTGACCCCTGTGACCCCTGTGTGACCCCTGACCCCCCTGTGACCCCTGTCTGACCCCATAACCCCTCTCTGACCCCTCTGTGCCCCCAGGGAGGTGCAGCTAACCGAGGAGGCCGTGCGCCGGTACCTGTCCCGCAAGCCCATGACCACGAAGGATCTGCTGAAGAAGTTCCAGACCAAGCGCACGGGGCTGAGCAGCGACGCCACCGTGAACGCGCTGGCGCAGCTGCTGAAGCGCCTCGACCCCGAGCGCAAACTCATCGCCGACAAGATGCACTTCTTCCTCAAGGAGTAGGGCCAAAAAAACCAGGGACCCCAAAAACACCCAGGGACCCCACAAACCCACCACAGAACCCCCAAAAACCCACAGGGACACCCCAAAACACCCACAAGGAACCCCAAAACCCACACGGACCCCCAAAACCCCACAGAGACCCCCCAAAACCCACAGGGACGCCCCCAAAACACCCCAGGGACCCCAAAACCCCACTGGGACCCACAGGGACACACTGGGACACCCAAACCCCCACAGGGACCCCCAAACCCCACACAAACCCCAAACCCCCCACGGATCCCCAGACCCCAAACCCCTCAGGGACACCCCAGAGCCCCCCAGGGAACCCCAAATCCGAAGAGATCCAACCCCAAAACCCCACAGGATCCCCCCCCCAAAACCCCCAAATCCACCAAGACCCCCCCAAAACCCCACAGGACCCCCACCCCATTGTTTCCCCAACCCCCCCGCACCACTCCAGACCCCCAAAATTCCCATTTTCTGCCCCAAATTCCCCTGAACGAGCCCTCACCTTCCCCGCCCCCCTCCCCAGGAATTTTGGGGGGGGGTGCTGGAATTTCCCTGGGGAGGGGCTCGGGGCTCCCCCACCCCTCCTGTGCCTTTTTTTGGGTCAGACTTTGCATTTTTGGCTATTTTTGGGTTTTTTTCCTCTCCTGTGTGCCAGATCCATCCCCCCCCAAAGCTCTGGAATGTTCCATCCACCCCCCCCCCACCCCAGGGGGGGTTTTGGGCTCCCCCCCACCCCCAAATTTTTAGGTGGGAGAGGTCTCGAACCCCCAAATTTTTGGGGTCCTGGGTGGGGTTTCAGAGCCCACAATTTTTTGAGGTTTTGGGGGGTCTCAAACCCTCAAATTTTGGGGGTCTCGAGGGGTTTCAAACCCCCAAATTTGTGTTTTGGGGGTTCTCAAAGCCTCAAATTTTTGTGTCTTGAGGGGTCTCAAACTCCCAAATTTTGGGGGTCTCGAGGGGTCTCAAACCCCCAATTTTTTTGTTTTGGGGGGGTCCAAACCCCCAAATTTTGGGGTCCTACTGCCCCACATTTTTAGGGTCCCTTTTAACTTTCCCTCCCCAATCCCAGACCCCTCCCCAAATTCCCCTTGGGGGGGGAGGGGGGGGACATCCCTGCCCCTCCCCCTCCCCCCTGGCGAGCTCAGGGCTGACCCCTCCCCCTCCCCGCCCCCTCCCCACCCCATAAATCCCGGTGCCCGGCGCTCTTTTGGGGAGGGGTCTCAGCATGGCCGGGCCGGGGCTGCGCTCGCTGCTGCCCCTCCCCCTCCTGCTGCTGCTGACCGCGGCCCCCCCCGCCCCTCCCCCCCCCGCCCCTCCCCCCCCTGCGGGCTGCGCAGCCTGCGGGTGGGGGCGGGGGCGCTGGGGCTGGGGTACCCCTCCCCCGAGACCCTCGTGTTCCGCTACTGCGGGGGGCGCTGCCCCGCGCCCCCCACCCTGCACGGCCGCGTGCGGGGGGCGCTGCTGGGGGAGGGGGCGCCGGGGGGGGGGCCCTGCTGCCGCCCCACCCGCTACGAGGACGCCGCGTTCCTGGACTCGGGGCTGCGCTGGGTCACCCTGCCCGGGCTGTCGGCGGGGGCGTGCGCCTGCCTGGGGTGAGACCCCTCCCCAAAATAACTGGGGACCCCTAATACCCCTCCTAGATAACCCTGAACCCCCCCGAGACCCCCAAACAAACCCTGACCCCCCCCAATCAAACCCTGACCCCCCCCCCAATAACCCTGCCCGGGCTGTCTGCAGGGGCGTGCGCCTGCCTGGGGTGAGACCCCTCCCCAAATTACCGGGGACCCCTAAACCCCCCCCAGATAAACCCTGAGACCCCCAAAGAAACCCTGACCCCCCCCCCAGATAACCCTGCCCGGGCTGTCGGCGGGGGCGTGCGCCTGCCTGGGGTGAGACCCCTCCCCAAATTACCGGGGACCCCTAAACCCCCCCCAAGACCCCCAAACAAACCCTGACCCCCCCCCGATAACCTCCAATCAAACCCTGACCCCCCCCCAGATAACCTTGCCCGGGCTGTCGGCGGGGGCGTGCGCCTGCCTGGGGTGAGACCCCTCCCCAAATTAACCCGGGACCCCCAGAACCTGCCTGATGACCCCCCTCCCCCAAAACCTCCCGACACCCCCAGAAAAACCCACCTGACCTCCCCCCAAAACCCCTCCCCACCTATTGGGGGGGGATTTTGGGGGGTCCCTCGTCCCACCCCCAAAAGCACCCCCTGGCTGTGGCTGGGGGGGTTTGGGGGTCCCCTCCCCCTCCTACAGACCCCTCCCCAAAACAGCCCCCCAAAAACAGCCCCCAAAAGCCGAGTGCAGGGGGGTCGCTGTTTATTTTGGGGGGGGGTCCTGGGGGTCCTCAATAAACGCTGGGAGGTCACCGAGAGGCTCCGGGGGCGTTTCTGGGGGGGTAAAAATGGGGGGTCAGGGAGGGAATTGGGGGGATTTTGGGGGTCCTGGGGGGGTCCCAGGAGGTGTTTTTGGGTGGGGGTCTCACCGGGGGGGTCATTGCAGAAGATCTGGGGATTTTTGTGGTGTTTTTGGGCTATTTTGGGGGTTTTTTTTGGTGGGATTTTGGGGTATTTTGGGAGGTTCTCTCACTGGGGGGCTCATTGCGGAAAATCAGGGGATTTTGGGGAGGATTTTGGGAGAGTTTTGGGGGTATTTTTTGGGTGTTTTTGGGGTATTTTTTGGGTATTTTGGGGGTGTTTCTCACCGGTGGGGTTGTTGCAGCAGATCGGTGGGTTTTTGGGGATTTTGGGGAGAATTTTTGGGATATTTTTGTGGGATTTTGGGGAGGATTTTTGGGGTATTTTTGTGGGATTTTGCGGAGGATTTTTGGGGTATTTTTGTGGAATTTTGGGGAGGATTTTTGGGGTATTTTTGTGGGATTTTGGGGAGTTTTTTTGGGGTATTTTTGTGGGATATTGGGGAGGATTTTTGTGGGATTTTGGGGGGTCTCTCACCGGGGGGGTCGTTGCGGAAGATGAGCGCCACGCGCCGCCCCCGCGGCACCCGCAGCCCCCCGAAAAACGACTCCTCATCGCCGAGGATCTCGTGGGTGAACTCGTACCTGGCGGCGCCCCTGGGGGGGCAGGGCGGGGTCAGGGGGGTCCCCAAACCCCCCGGGACCCCCCCAAACCTCAGGGACCCCCCCAGACCCACCTGAGCACGTAGAGCGAGCGGGGGGGCAGCAGCAGCTCCAGGTGGTCCCGGGGGTCCCGGAGGCTCCGGAGCCGCAGGACGGAGGCGGAGAGGAGAGAGAGCCCGGCAATAGTGCAGCCACAGAACTGGGGCAAAAACAGCCAAAATCACCCCAAAATAACCCCAAAATCACCCCAAAATCACCCAAAAATCACCCCAAAACCAGCACAGAGAGCCCCGCGATGGTGCAGCCACAGAACTGGGGCAAAACCACCCAAAATCACCCAAAAAACACCCAAAATCACCCCAAAATCACCCAAAAACCAGCACAGAGAGCCCCGCGATGGTGCAGCCGCAGAACTGGGGCAAAAACAGCCAAAATCACCCAAAATCAGAACAGAGAGCCCGGCAATGGTGCAGCCGCAGAACTGGGGCAGAAACACCCAAAATCACCCAAAATCACCCCAAAATCAGCACAGAGAGCCCGGCGATGGTGCAGCCGCAGAACTGGGGAGGGACCCCAAAAATCAGAGCTGGGAATCCCCAAAAACACACCTGGGACCCACAGAACCCCCCCAGCCCCACCCAGGGACCCCCGAAATTCCCCCCAGGACCCCCCAAACCCCCCCAGGAGCCCCCCCAGGACTCCCCAAACCCCCCCAGGACCCCCTCAGGACCCCCCAACCCTCCCCCAGGACCCCCCCAAACGCCCCCAAACCCCCTCAGGACCCCCCAAACCCCCCAGGACCCCCCAAACCCCCCCCGACCCCCACCTTGACGCTGTCCACGTGCGGCCCCACGCGCCCCCCCGGCTGCAGGTCCAGGACGTGGGCGCGGGCCCGGGGGGGGCTCCGGGGGGGGAACTCGGGGGTCACCCGGAGCAGCAGCGCCCCCCCCGCGGGCCCCCCCAGCGCCCGCTCGGTCTCGCGGTACCCCGAGATGGCCTGGGGGGGGCGGGGGGGGGCGGGGGGGTCAGGGGGGCGTGAGACCCCCACCCAAAATTATCCACCCCCCCCACACACACACAGCTCCTCGGAAATGAGACCCCCCCCCCACCCCCAGACCCGCCCTCAGATTCCCGTGAGCCCCCCCAGACCCTCAGACCCCTGTGACCCCCCCAGCCTCCCGTGACCCCCGTGACCCCCCCAAATTCCTGAGACTCCCCCGAAGTTCCTGTGACCCCCTCCTGTGACCCCCCCTCAAATTCCTCTGACCCCCGTGACCCCCCCGACCCCCATGACCCCCCCAGACCCCCATGACCCCCGTGCCCCCGGTGCCCCCTGACCCGGTCCCAGTGGTCGCTCTGGTAGCGGCCCCTCCTCAGCGCCGGTTCCACCTCCGCCAGCAGCGCCGCCGCCTCCTCCTCGCTGACGAACTCCCCGCGCACCCGCGCCAGGCCCCGCAGCCGCCGCAGCAGCTCCGGGCGGCTGCCCCGGACCAGCCCCGGACCCGGACCCGCCACCGCCACCGGGCCCGGCCCCGGCCCCGCCACCGCCCTCACCGGGCCCGGCCCGGGGCAACCGGAGCGCGCCCGGAGCGCCCCGAGCGCCGCGCGGAGCATGCCGGGACTGCGGCGGCGCCGCCTGGCGGAACGGAGGACTCGGGGCATTGCACCAGGACAGCGCCCTCTGGCGGCGCGGAGGACTCGGGGCGCGGCTGGCGACGCGCCAGATCCCTCCCCAAAATCCTGAAATTCCCACCAAATCCCTCCCCAAAATCCAGAAATTCCTTCCAAATTCCTCCCCAAAATCCAGAATTTCCCCCCAAATCCCTCCCCAAAATCCAGAAATTCCTTCCAAATTCCTCCCCAAAATCCAGAATTTCCCCCCAAATCCCTCCCCAAAAATCCAGAATTTCCCCCCAAATATCCAGAAATTCCCCCCAAATCCCTCCTGAAAACCCAGAAATTCCCCCCAAATCCAGAAATTCCCCCCAAATCCCTCCTGAAAATCCAGAAGTTCCTCCCAAATCCCTCCCCAAATCCATAAAATCCCCCAAAATCCCCCAAACCCCCCCAAATTCCCCCCAAAAATCCCCCAGCAATCCCCCTGGCCGGCACTGCTTTATTTCCACACTCGGTTCGGGGCTGGGGGGGCTCAGGAGGCCCCCGGGGGGCTCTGGGGGGGCCCCGGGGGGCTCGGGGGGCTCGGGGGGGGGTCCCGGGGCAGCACTCGGGGCTCGTCCTGCCCCCGGGCCGGGGGGTGCACCAGCACCTGGTCCAGCAGCCCGAAATCGCGCGCCTCCAGCGGGCTCAGGTAACGGTCCCGCTCCATCGCCGCCTCTGCGGGTTGGGGGGCGGTTAGGGGGGCTTTGGGGGCGGCTGAGGGGATTTGGGGGCAGATTTGGGGGGTTTGGGGGTGTCACTGGGAGGGTATTGGGCGGTTTGGAGGGGGTTTGGGGAGCATTTGGGGGTTTTGAGGGGGATTTGGAGGGGCTTGAGGGGGGTTTGGGGATCCCTGGGGGGATTTGGGATGTCCCTGGGAGGGTTCTGGGGGGATTTAGGGGGAGTTTGGGGATGTTTGAGGTGGGGGTTTAGGGGTCCCGGGGGCATTCCGGGGGTGCCGGGAGGATTCTGGGGGTCCCGGGGCAGTTTTGGGGGTCCCGGGGGCATTCTGGGGGTCCCGGGGGTCTCTCACCGATGACGGGCAGCGGCTGCCCCGTGTGTTTGGCGTACAGACCGTTGATTTGCCGCTTCAGCTGCAGGATCTCCTCGGCCTGGATGGCGATGTCGGTGGCCTGGCCCTGGGGAGGGGATTTGGGGGGATTTGGGGGGTTTGGGCACTCTCCCCTCCTCCCCCGATGCCCCCTGGGCTCCACAGACCCCTGAAATCCTCTCCAAACCCTCCCCAGATCTCCCCAAGTGCCCCTGAATCCCCCCTGGGACCGCCCAAATCCCCCTCAAATCCTCCTGTGACTCCCCAAACCCCCTTGGGACCCCTCAAACCGCCCTGGGACCCCTCCAAACCCCCGAAATCCTCTCCAAACCCTCCCCAGATCCCCTCAAATCCTCCTGTGACCCCCCAAACCCCCTTGGGACCCCTCAAACCGCCCTGGGACCCCTCCAAACCCCCGAAATCCTCTCCAAACCCTCCCCAGATCCCCCAAAATCCCCCCAAATCACCCCCAAATCCCCTCCAAACCCCCCTGGGACCCCCGAAATCCCTCCTGGGACCCCCCAAACCCCCCCAACCCCCCCCAGACGTACCCGTGCCCCCCCCGAGGGCTGGTGCACCATGATGTGGGTGTTCCCCAAATCCCCCTAAACCCCCCTGGGACCCCCCAAACCCCCCCAAATCCCCTCTAGGACCCCCCAAATCCCCCCCAAACCCCCCCAGACGTACCCGTGCCCCCCCCGAGGGCTGGTGCACCATGATGCGGGCGTTGGGCAGCGCGTGCCGCAGGCCGGGCCGCCCGGCCGCCAGCAGCAGGGAGCCCATGCTCGCCGCCTGCCCCACGCACCAGGTGCACACCGGGCTCAGCACGTACTGCATCGTGTCGTAGATGGCCAGCCCCGAGGTCACCGAGCCTCCTGGGGACACACACCCCGAAAATGAGCATTAAACACCCCGAAAATCAGCCTCAAACAGCCCCAAACAGCCCCGAGGTCACCGAGCCGCCTGGGACACCCCAAAAATGAGCATTAAACACCCCGAAAATCAGCCTCAAACAGCCCAAAAGTCGGCCTTTAAACAGCCCCAAAACCCACCAGAGACACCCCAAAAATCAGCCTTTAAACAGCCCAAAAATCAGTGTTTAAACAGCCCGAAAATCCCATAATGGACACTCCAAAAATGGGCTTTAGACACCCCGGAAATTGGCCTTCAAACCCCTCAAAAATCAGTGTTTAAACACCCCGAAAATCCCATCAGGGACACCCTGAAAATGGGCCTTAGACACCCCCAAAATCAGCCCAAACTCCCCCAAACCTCCCCAAATCCCCCTTCAAACTCTCCAAACCCCCCTGTACACCCCCAAAATGGGTTTTGGAACCCCGAAACTCCCCCAAATTCCCCTAAACCCCCCCCAAAGGAGGGTTTGGGGCCCCAGATCCCCCAAATGTGGGTTTTCCCCCAAAATGTGGAGTTTTCCTCCAGATGTGGCTTTTTCCTCCCAAAATGTGGGGTTTTTTCCCCTCAAATGTGTTTTTTTCTGCCCAAATGTGCGTTTTTGCCCCCAAATGTGGGTTTTTCCCCCCCAGTGCGGGTTTTTCCCCCCAGATGTGGGTTTTTACCCCCAAATATGGGTTTTTCCCCCCCAATGTGGGTTTTTCCCCCCAAATGTGGCTTTTTGCCCCCAAATGTGGGTTTTTCCCCCCCAAATGTGGGGTTTTCCTGCCAAATGTGGGGTTTTCCCCTCAAATGTGTTTTTTTCCCCAAAAATGTGGCTTTTTTGCCTCCAAATGTGGGTTTTTCCCTCCAAATGTGGGTTTTTCCCACAAAATGTGGCTTTTTCCTTCAAAATGTGGAGTTTTCCCCCCAAATGTGTGTTTTTGCCCCCAGACCCACCGGGGCTGTTGATGTACATGTGGATGGGTTCCTGTTGCCCCCCAAATGTGGATTTTTCCCCCTAAATGTGTTTTTTTCCCCCCAAAATGTGGGGTTTTGCCCCCAAATGTGGGTTTTTCCCCCCAAAATGTGAATTTTGGGACCTCAGACCCACCGGGGCTGTTGATGTACATGTGGATGGGTTCCTGTTGCCCCCCAAATGTGGATTTTTTCCCCCAAAATGTGTTTTTTCCCCCCAGACCCACCGGGGCTGTTGATGTACATGTGGATGGGTTCCTGCTGCACCCCAAATGTGGATTTTTTCCCCCAAAATGTGAATTTCAGGCCCCCAGACCCACCGGGGCTGTTGATGTACATGTGGATGGGTTCCTGTTGCACCCCTAAATGTGGGTTTTTCCCCCCAAAATGCGGATTTTTCCCCCAGACCCACCGGGGCTGTTGATGTACATGTGGATGGGTTTCTTGTTGCTCTCGGACTGCAGGAACAGCAGCTGGGCGATCACCAGGCTGGCCAGGCTGTCGTCGATCTGGGGGGGGATTCGGGGCTCAGGGGGGTCTGGGGGTCCCCGGGGGCTCTTGGGGGGAATTCGGGGGGTTTGGGGCGGTTTTGGGACATTTGGGCGTTTTTTATGTATTTTTGGCAGTTTTTTTGGGGTGTTTCCGGTGGGTTTTGGGTGTTTTGGGAGTTTTTCGGATTTTTAAGAGGTTTTTGGGATGTTTTTTGGGTATTTTGGGCTGGTTTTGAGTGGTTTTGGGGGTATTTTGGGCTGTTTTTGAGTGGTTTTGGGATATTTGGGGCTGTTTTGGGGTTTTGGGTACCCACCGGGCCCATCACGCAGACGATCCGCTCCCGCAGCAGCCGCGAGTAAATGTCGTAGGCGCGTTCCCCCCGGCCCTGGGGGGAGTCAGCCGAGACTTTGGGGGATTTGGGGGGATTTGGGGGGGTTTGGGAGGGTTTGAGGGGGTCAGAGGGGATTTGGGGGGGGTAAAAGGCGGTTCTGGGGGGCTTTGGGGGAATTCTGAGGAGATTTTTGGAAGGGTCAGAGGACATTTGGGTGGGCTTTGGGGGATTTTGGGGCTCAGAGTGGATTTCGGGTGTCTCAGGTGGATTTCGGGGGTCTCAAGGTGGGATTTGAGGTCCCGGGGGGGGGTTTTGGGGTCCCAGGGTGGAATTTTGGGGTCCCAGGGGGGGTTTTGGGGTCCCAGGGGGGGTTTTGGAGTCCCAGGGTGGATTTTTGGGGTCCCAGGGTGGATTTTTGGGGTCCCGGGGGGGGTTTGGGGTCCCAGGGTGGATTTTTGGGGTCTCCGGTGGGACTTGGGGGTCACAGGGGGTTTTGGGGGGTCCCCGCCCCCCGCCCCTCCCCCACTCACCGTCTGCTCCACCACGATGGGGATCAGCGGTGGGGGAGGGGCGGGGGTCGCGCCCGTCCCGTGCAGGCGGCGCCGGACCCCGGCCCAGAGCCAGCGCTGGGGGGGGAGGGGCGGGGGATCAGCGGGACCCCCGGAACCGAGAGACCCCCCCAAAAAACCGAGAGACCCCCCAAAACCGAGAGACCCCCACCCAAAAACCGAGAGACCCCCCCAAAAAACCGAGACACCCCCCCCCAAATAACCCCCAAAACCCCCCGGAACCGGAACCCCACTCCCCAAAATCGGGACCCCCCCGTAGAACCGGGACCCCCCCGGGCCATCCCCGTGCCCCTCCCCCACCCCCGGTGCCCCCGTTCCCCCCCGCCCCTCCCCCCTCACCGCCGCCCCCGGCCCCATCGCGCCCCGGAAGCGCTCGGGCCCACGTGACCCGCGCGCACGTGACGTCGCTTCCCGCCAGCCACGCCCCCCGCGGCCCCGCCTCCCCTCAAGCCCCGCCCCTCCCGCGGCGCCCCCTCGGGACTACATTTCCCGTCGCGCCCCGCGCCGCCGCCGCCATGACGGTACCGGAAGAAGCGCGCAGGGCTCCTCTCGGACCACCGGAGCCGGCCCAGCCCCGCTGTAGCTGTTTTGCAGCAATTTTGGCCCTTTAGCCATTCCGTATTGCCCGGCGGAAAGCGCGGCCTTAGGTAAACGCTGGGCCTCCCGGTGCTGAGGGCCTCGCTCATTTTAACCGGTTTAATTCCTCAGTTATCCCCGCTCGCAGCGTTAAATACCGCCCCCCACCCCCGGCAGCGCCAGTGAGGGAGGAACGCCGTGAAATCAGCCGGGCGGCGGCGTCACGCCTCCGTGACGTCGCGAAGCGCCTCAGCCGCCGGGAACTACATGTCCCGGCAGCCCTCGCGGCCCGCCGCGCGCTCGGCCCTCGCGCTGATCGGCGGCCGCCTCAGCCAATGGCGTCACGCCAGCTCCCCACGCGGCCCCGCCCGCCACCCCTCGCTCAGGAAGCGCTGATTGACGCACGGAACGACCAATCACGCGAGGGAGGGGCGGGGTTTGTGCGGAGCGACGCGCGGCTCGACCAACTAGCGCGCGCCGGCGGACCCCGCTGACCAATCGGCGATGAGAGGCGGGACTCGCGAGGCCGGCCCCGCCCGCCGCCGAGGCGGGTAGCAACAGTTGCCCCGGTGAGGGACCAGGGAGGCCGCCATAGCCACGGTCACCGTGGCGACCGCGCTCCGGCCCGGCCCGGCCCCTGCCGCCGCCGCCCGCCGCCCCGTCGGGCTCCGCCGGCAGCAGCAGCCGCGGCAGCGGGGGCGGGCGGAGCCCCCGCGGGGCCCCGGCGGCGGCCGCGGGCAGGTGGGTCCGAGCGGCGCCGCCAAAATGGCGGCGAAGGGGGGGGGGGAAGGGGGGAACGCGGGGGGGGGGGGGGGAGGGGGGGCGGTGGGTCTGGGCTCGGGGGCGGGGCTTGAGCGCGCCTCTCGATTGGCGGGCGGGCGGGCCAATGGGGAGGCGGGGCGGGGAGGTGGGAGCCAATGGGGGCGCGCGGGTGGCGGCTGGACACGCCCCCCTCCTCTCCCCCTCCCGCCCGGCGCGGTGATGTCACGCTCGATGCGTGACGTCACCGGCGGGCATCCCTGGGGCGGGGCCGTGTCGTGACGTCACGCGCGGGGAGGAGGGGGCATCACACTTTTTCCCCCCTCCCCGCCGTGACGTCACTCCCGCGCGGACGCCGCTTATCGCCGTGACGTCACTCCCCCAGCCGTCGCCATGGCGACCCAGCCCTCCTACGTCACCGAGATGACGGCAGCAGCGACGTCACAGCCGCAGCCGCCCTCCGCCCCGCCCCCCGCCGGCCCCGCCCCTTTCGGGGCGGAGCTCGCGGGAGGCTCCGCCCCCGGCGCGCCCCCCCCGGCCGCCCCCGCGCCCCCCCCCCCCAGTTCATCGTGGTCACCGTGGCCGGTGAGGAACCCCCAAACCGCCGCGATTCGCCCCAAAAACCCGCGGGCAGCCCCGGCTGACCCCGCCCTGCCCTTCTGTCCCCACAGCAGAGGGGCTGCGACCCCCGGAGGGCACCGAGGGCAGCCCCGCGCCCCCCGCGCCCCCCCAGCCCGGGCCCAGCCCCGGCGGGCAGCAGGTGCGGAGAAACGGGGGCAAAACGGGGAAAATCGGGGCTGGGGAGGGGGGACGGGGAGAAATGGGCTGGGACGGGGGGGAAATGGTGATTAAAGTTACCCAAAATGGGCTGGGAGGGGGTAAAAGTTGGATCAAAGTTACCCAGAATGGGCTGGAATGGGGTAAAAGTGTGATTAAAGTTACCCAAAATGGGTTAGAATGGGGTAAAAGTGGGATTAAAGTTACCCAAAATGGGATGGAATTGGGTAAAAGTGGGATAAAAGTTACCCAAAATGGGATGGAATTGGGTAAAAGTGGGATTAAAGTTACCCAGAATGGGCTGGGAGGGGGAAAAGTGGGATAAGGTGTCCCAAAATGCATTGGAAGGCCTTAAAATTGTGATTAAAGTTGGCCAAAATTGACAGGAATGGGGTAAAATTTAATTAAAGTTGCCCAAAATACCCAGAATTGGGGCAGGAACGGGGGGAACTGGGATAAATTTGGGACACATAAATTTGGGATAAGTGTAAAATACATTTGGGATATGTTGGGATAAAGTCGTGAGAAATTTGGGGTGAATTTGAGATAATTTCGGGGTAAAGTTGGGATACATTTGGGGTAAGTTTAGGTAAATTCGGGATAAACTTGGGATAAATTTGGGAATATCTTGGAATCAGTTGGGATAAACTTGGGGTAAATTTGGGATAATTTTGGGGTAAATTGGGATAAATTCGGGATAATTTTGGGGTAAATCAGGATAAATTTGGCCCTCGAAGGGCTAAACTGGGGGTGCCCCTTGCTCCCCTCCCCCCAGGGGTGAGCGGGGGGTGTTGGGGTGGGGGAGGGTCGGGGGCTCCCCCCTGACCCCCCCTGACCCCCCCCAGGTGCAGCAGCTCCCCCCGGTGCAGCACGTCTTCCCCGCCCCCTTCGTGGAGGGGGGGGATGGGGCCTACGCCCCCCCCGGCGGCATGTGAGCGACCCCTCCCCCTCCCCAAACCCGCCTGACCCCCTGGGGGGGTCCCCACCGCTGACCCCCCCCCCCATTTCCCATTTCCCATTTCCCCCCCACTGACCCCCCCCCCATTTCCCATTTCCCCACCGCTGACCCCCCATTTCCCATTTCCCATTTCCCATTTCCCGTTTCCCCGCAGCCGCTCGGGCTCGTTCCCCTTCGCCGAGGCGCCGCTCTTCGCTCAGAACTCGGGGGGCTACTTCGAGGGGGGGGGAGGGGCGGCCCCGGTGCAGCCCAGCCCCCCCCCGCCCCCTCCCCCCCCCCCGCCGCCGCCCCCTCCCCCCTCCAGCGCGCAGCCCCCCCCCAGCAGCGCCCCCGTGCCCATGTACGTGGCGGGGGGGGCGGGGGGGGCGCAGCTTCTGGGGGGCGCCGCCGCCGCCCCTCCCCCCCCCCCGCGGCCCCCGCCGCCCCCCCGGGGGGGGAGGCGCGTCCGGGACCCCCGGCGGGGGCACCTTCGTCATCCAGGGGGGGTACGTGGGGGGCACGGGGGCGGCCTACGCCCACACCACCCGCGCCTCCCCCGCCACGGTGAGAGCTGGGGGGGCACGGGGTCTGGGGGGGCAGGGGAGGGTTAGAGGGGATTTGGGGGGGTTTGGGGGGGTTAGAGGGGATTTGGGGTGGGAAATTTGGGCAGGAAAGCAGAAAACATTGCGATTTTGGGGGTGTTCTCAGGATGCAGGGGTTTTGGGGTGCAGGGATTTGGGGTGGGGTGTTTCGGGGTGGGGTTTTTCGGGGAGCAGGGCCTTTCGGGGTTTCAGGATGCAGGGATTCGGGGCGCGGGGCCGTTTCGGGGTGGGTTTTTCGGGGCACAGGCCGTTTCGGGGTGGGGTTTTTCAGGGAGCAGGGCGCTTCAGGGTTTCAGGATGCAGGAATTCGGGGCACAGGGCCGTTTCGGGGTGGGCATTCGGGGCCCAGGCCGTTTCGCGGTGCGGTGACCGCTGTGCCCGCAGGTGCAGTGGCTGCTGGACAATTACGAGACGGCCGAGGGGGTGAGCCTGCCCCGCAGCGCGCTGTACTGCCACTACCTGCTGCACTGCCAGGGCCACAAGCTGGAGCCCGTCAACGCCGCCTCCTTCGGCAAACTCATCCGCTCCGTCTTCATGGGGCTGCGCACGCGCCGCCTCGGAACCAGGTCTGCCCGGGAACCAGGTCTGCCTGGGGACCAGGTCTGCGGGGCGGGGAACGGCCCCGGGGATCCTGAGAGTGTCCTGAAAATGGCCTGAAAGTGTCCTGAAAAGGGCCTGAAAACAGCCTGAAATTATCCTGAAAGTATCCCGAAAATATCCTGAAATTGTCCTGAAAATATCCCCAAACATCCTGAAATTGTCCCGAAAGTATCCAGAAAATATCCTGAAAATATCCTGAAATTATTCTGAAAACGTCCCAAAAACATCCCGAAATTATCCTGAAAATATTCCCAAATATCCTGAGAACCTCCTGAAAATAGTCTTGAAAATAATCCTGAAAATAGCCTGAAGTTATCTTGGGAGTATCCTGAAAATAGTCTGGAACTATCCTGAAAATATCCCCCCAAAAAATCCGGAAAATATCCCCCAAAAAAACAAAAAAAATCCCAAAATTCCCCCAAAAAATCCCAAAATTCCCCCAAAAATCCCGCGGGCCTCCACAGCGCCGCCTGCGGGGCGCAGGGCGCCATTGCACCCCCAGCCAGGGGAGACCCCCGAAGTGCCCGGGGGGATCCACCCCCAAATCCCCCCCAAAATCCCCCCAAAATCCCCCCAAACCCCCCAGAATCCCGACCCCCGTTTTCCAGGGGGAACTCCAAGTACCACTACTACGGGCTGCGCATCAAGGCGGGCTCGCCGCTGCTGCGGCTGGTGGAGGACCAGCAGCACCTGGCCATGCGCCAGCAGCCCTTCGCGCAGAAACAGCGGTGAGCAGCCCCCCAAAACCCCCCCCGGAGCCCCCCGAGACCCCCAGCGCCCCTCACCCCTCCTCGCACCCCCACAGCCTCAAGCCCGTGCAGAAAATGGAGGGGGGGGTCACCAACGGCGTCTCCTCAGCGCCCGCCGCCCCCGGCGTCCCCGACATCAGCGCCCAGGTGCAGCAGTACCAGCAGTTCTTGGGTGAGCGACCCCCAAAAATCACCCCCCCACACCCCCATGGATTGTGGGGTTCCCTCGTGACCCCCCAAATCCCGCAGACGCCTCCCGCTCGCTGCCGGAGTTCCCCGAGATCGACGTGCAGGGCAAGGGGCTCCCCGAGGGCGCGGGGCTGGAGGACCTGCGGGCATTCCAGCAGCTCTACCGGGAGCACTGCGAGGTGGGCAACACCCCCGGACCCCAAAACGGCCCCTCCCCGCACTGGGGGACCCCCCTGAGCCCGCTGTGCCCCCCAAAAGGCCATCGTGGACGTGATGATCAACCTGCAGTTCTCGCTGGTGGAGACGCTCTGGAAAAGCTTCTGGCGCTGCAGCGGCGAGAGCGACGCGTGAGGAGGGGGCCCCGAAACTCGAGGGGGGGTCCCCGAATTTTGGGGCGGGGGTTTGAGGGCTGGGGGGACCCCTCGGTACGTGGGACAGCAGATTTGGGGGATCGCGGGTTTTGGGGTGACCCCGTTCCCTCTGCCTCGGGTGTTGGGGGACCCCCAGGTTTCGGGGGCAGCCCAAAGCGCCTCTCCCCAGGGGTTGGGGGTCCCCGCGGGTTTGGGGTGCCCCGGGTCTGGGGGTGACCCCTCTGCTCCCCCAGGCAGGAGGAGGCCGAGCGGCGCCTGCCCCGGCGGCGGCTGCTGCTGCTGGCGCGGCTGGAGCCCGTCCTGCGCTGGGTGCGCGACTGCGACCACGCGCTGTACCAGGGGCTGGTGGAGATCCTGGTGCCCGACGTGCTGCGCCCCATCCCCAGTGAGCCCCAAGCCCCAAAACCCCCCGGGAGCCCCAAAACCCCCAGGAACCCCTTCAGAAACCTCCTGGATTTGGCACGACCCCAAAACCCCCCCAAGAACCTTCCAAAATCCCCCAAGATTTTCAAAAGCCCCCAGAAAACCCCCCCAAGAAACCCCCAAAACCTCCCTAACCCAAAAACTCGAAAAAACCCCCTAAAACCTCCCAGGAACGCCCCCAAACCCAGCAGGAACCCCCCAAACAAGACCGAGTCCCCCCAGAGGAGCCCCCAGCCCCCCAAATCCCGCTGTGCCCCCCAGAGGAGCCCCCCAAACCCCATTGTGCCCCCCAGAGGAGCCCCCCAAATCCCGCTGTGCCCCCCAGAGGAACCCCCCAAATCCCGCTGTGCCCCCCAGAGGAGCCCCCCAAACCCTGCTGTGCCCCCCAGAGGAGCCCCCCAGCCCCCCAAACCCCGCTGTGCCTCCCAGAGCAGCCCCCAGCCCCCCAAACCCCCCTGTTCCAGGTGCCCTGACCCAGGCCATCCGGAATTTCGCCAAGAGCCTGGAGAGCTGGCTGGGCAACGCCATGGTCAGCATGCCCGAGGAGCTGGTGCGGGTCAAGGTGCGCCCTGGGGGTCCGGGGGGGCTGGGGGGGTCCCCGGGGATTTTAGGGGGGTCCCTGGGGCTTTTTTGGGGGAGTTACGGGTCTTGCAGATGGGTTTAGGGGGACCCTGGGGTCTCTGGGGGGGGTCCTGTGCTTTTTGGGAGGTGCCCCCCGAACCCTCGGGGGCTCTGAGGGTGTCCCCCCGAGTCCTGCAGTGATTTGGGGGGCTCAGGGCGGGTCCGGGGGGCTCACGGTGGGTCGGGGGGTCCCTGGGGGGCTCAGGGTGGGTCCGGGGGTCCCTGAGGTGGGTCCGGGGGTCCCTGAGGAGGTGCCCCCTGCCCGCAGGCGGCGGCGGCGGGCGCCTTCGCGCAGACCCTGCGCAGGTACACGTCCCTGAACCACCTGGCGCAGGCGGCGCGCGCAGTCCTGCAGAACACGGCCCAGATCAGCCAAATGCTCAGCGACCTCAACCGCGTCGACTTCGCCAACGTGCAGGTCCGGCACCCCAAACGGGCTGGGAACCCTGAAAATGGGGTGGGGACCCCCAAAAACAGGGTGGGGACCCTGAAAAATGGGGTGGGGACCCCGAAAATGGGGTGGGGACCTCGAAATGGGGGTGGGGAGCACACAGTGGGGATGGGGCACCCCGAAACGGGCTGGGGGGGCACTGAAACGGAGATTAGGGGACTCCAAAATGGGGATGGGGGACCCCAAAATATCTCACTCCCCTCCCGGATCCGCAGCCCCTGGGCTGGGCCAGTGCCCGGAGCCGGGGGAGGTTCTCGGGGCAGTTCCCGGTGCCGGTGCCGGTGCCGGGCTCTCCCCGGGGCTCTCTCGGGGCAGTTCCCGGTGCCGGTTCTGGTGCCGGGTCTCTCCGGTCCCAATCCCGTCCCCCCGCAGGAGCAGGCGGCCTGGGTGTGCCGCTGCGAGGCGCGGGTGGTGCAGCGCCTGGAGCAGGACTTCAAGGCCACGCTGGGCCAGCAGCACTCGCTGGAGCAGTGGGCGGCCTGGCTGGACGCTGTGGTGGCGCGAGTGCTGCGGCCACACCTGGGCACACCTGGGCTGCCCCGTGCCGCCAAGCTCTTCCTGCTCAAGTGGTCCTTCTACAGGTGAGAAACGGCTCGAAAAGAGCGTGAAACCACGCGGGGACAGGCCAAAAACAACCCAGGGGGACAGCCCGAAAAACAGCCCGAAACCACATGGGGACAGGCAAAAAACAGCCCGAAAACCAGCCCAAAATCCAACCCAAAATCACAGGGGGACAGGTGAAAAACAGCCCGAAACACAGCCAAAAAACCAGCCCAAAATCACACAGGAACAGGCAAAAAACATCTCAAACTCACACAGGGACACCCCCCATCCCCCAAATCTGGGCCAGGGGCTGGGGGAGGTCTCGGGGATCTTTGCTGTGTCCCCAAATCCCCTGGACCCCCAAAACCCCCCAGGAACGCCCCAAAACCCCAACAGGACCCCAACCCCACCTCCAAAACCCCTTTCTCCAAAGCCCCCGTGCCCCCCCTAACCCCCCGGTGCCCCCCGGTGCCCCCCAGCTCGATGGTGATCCGGGACCTGACCCTGCGCAGCGCCGCCAGTTTCGGCTCCTTCCACCTGATCCGGCTGCTCTACGATGAGTACATGTACTACCTGGTGGAGCAGCGCGTGGCGCGGGCACGGGGCACCTGCCCCATCGCCGTCATGGGCGAGGTGGGCACGGGGGGACTCAGGGCAGGGTTTTGGGGGGCTCAGGGCAGGATTTTGGGGGGCTCAGGGCAGGTTTGGGGGGCTCAGGGCAGGTTTGGGGGCCCAGCCCCTCACCTGTATTACCTGGTGGAGCAGCGCGGGGCACCTGCCCCATCACCGTCATGGGCGAGGTGGGTTCAGGGGGTGCTTGGGGCAGGATTTTGGGGGTTCAGGGTGGTTTTTGGGGGTTCAGGGGGGGTTGGGGGCTCAGGGCAGGTGTTTGGGGTTCAGGGCAGGTTTGGGGGGGTTCAGGGTGTTTTTTGGGGGGGCTCAGGTGGGGTTTGGAGGGGTTCAGGGCAGGTTTTGGGGCTCAGGGCAGGATTTTGGGGGGTTCAGGGTGGTTTTTTGGGGCTCAGGGCAGGTTTTTGGGGTTCAGGGCAGGTTTCGGGGGGTTCAGGGTAGGTTTTGGGGCTCAGGTGGGGTTTGGGGGGTGTTCAGGGCAGGTTTTGGGGTTCAGGGGTGTTGGGGCCCCCTCACCTGCAGCCCCTGGGGGGGGGGGCAGCTCCGTGTCCCTTCGCTGACGTGGGGGTGACACTTTTTGGGGGGGTTTGGTGGTGTGACCACCCCACAGCCCCCCCAAAATCCCCCAATCTGACCCCCCCTTTGCTCCCGCCCCCCCCAGTTCGCCAACCTGACGAGTTCCCTGAACCCGCAGGACCCTGACAAAGGTGGGTGACCCCAAAAAGGGGGACCCCCAAAAAGGGGATGGGGGCGGGAGGGGGAGAGAAATGCCAGGTGGGGAAGGGTTAATTCTGGGTTTAATTTTTTATATTTTTTCTTTTATAATTCATTTTATTTGAAATTGAATTTTTAGTTTTGTTTTAATTGTTTTGATTTTTTTAAATGGTATTTATAGTTCTATGGTAATACAATTTTTGTTTAATTTTAGGATTTAATTTTAATTTCCTAATTTAAATTGCATTTTAAATTCCATTTTGATTTTTAAATTCTAATTCATTTTCACTTAATTTTAATTTTTTAATTTAAATTGCATATTAATTTTTATTTTAATATTTTATCTTATTTTATTTTTAATTTAAATTGAATTTTAAATTTACTTTTAATTTAATTATTTAATCATTTCTTTTAATTTAATTATTTATTGTAATTTAATCATTTATTTTAATTTAATCATTTATTTTAATTTAATTCCTTTTAATTTAATTTTAATGGTTTTTTTTAAATTTAAATTTAACTTTTTATTTCATTTTAATTCATTTCAAACTTACCTTTTTATTTCATTTCCATTAATTTAAAACTTAATGTAATTTAACCCAACTTTTCCCCCTTCCGGGCTCCCCGCTCCGTGCCCGCCCCGCAGAGGAGGATGAGGAGGAGGAGGAGGAGGAGAGCGAGGAGGAGCTGCCGGCCGAGCTGGGGCTGGGGGGCGGCGCGGGTCCCCCCGGGGCGCGGCCGGAGCCGCCGCCGGAGCCGCCGCTGGAGCCGCCGCCCCCGAAAGCGGCGCGGGCGGACCCGCGCGGGCTCCTGGTGCCGGCGCTGCCGTCCCGCTGAGCCCCCGCGGGGGCTGCTCGTGCCTTACGGACCCACGGGGGGCTGCGCGGACACGGGGGGGCAAATCCCCGCCCCCGCCCCTCCCCCGCCCTCCGCAGTGCCAACCCCCCATCCCCCATCCCCCCGCTGCCTTACGCCCCCTCCCCCCCCGCATGTCGGGCCCCCCACCCGCGCTTCGCCCCCCCCCCCCGTATTCGATTTTGGCGTTTTTCGGTCATTTTGTGCTTTGTGCCCCCCCCGGGGGGAGGGGCCGTGTCCGTGGCCGCCCGTGTGGAAATTGGAGCCAAGCCTGGAATTCTCTGGGGGGTTGGGGGGCGCGGGGGGGGCGGGGGTGGGTGGGGGTCTCACCCATATCCCCCCCACCCCCCCCCACCGCCGCGTGTGCCCCCCGCCCCCCCGCCCCCCCCCCCTTGCAGACGCTGTTTTTTACCTTTTGTAGCTTCTTTGTAAAAGGAATAAAAAGCAACGGCGGTGTCGGGCCGGCCCTGCCTGCGCGGGGTCACCCCAAATCCCGGCCCCAAAATCCCTGAAACGACCCCAAATCCCGGCCCTCAAAATCCCCAAAGTGAGCCCCCAAAATCCCCGAAATGAGCCCCAAATCTGCCCCCAAAATCCCCGAAATGAGCCCCAAATCTGCCCCCCAAATCCCCGAAATGAGCCCCAAATCTGTCCCCAAAATCCCCGAAGTGAGCCCCAAATCCCGACCCCCAAAATCCCTGAAATGACCCCAAATCCCAGCCCCCAAAATCCCCGAAATGAGCCCCAAATCTGCCCCTAAAATCCCTGAAACGACCCCAAATCTGCCCCCAAAATCCCCGAAACAACCCCAAATCCCAGCTGATCCAAAAGTGCCCCGGGGTGGAAACGGGAGTTTTTATTTTGGGGAGGGGGATCTGAGATCCTCCCCCCACCCCGCGATAAAACACTGAACGGCAAAATGAGAGGGGAAAACATTGCAAAAAAGGGAAAAATGAAAAAAAAAAAGGGAAAAAAGAAAACAAAAGGCCCCAGAGGGAGCAGGGCTGGGCCTGTGTCCATATGGAGAAGGATCCAGGTGTGACAGAAGGATCCAGATGTCCCCAGGTGTCACAGCAGGGTCCAGGTGTGTCCCCAGGTGTGTCCCAGGTGATGTCCTGGGTGTCCCCAGGTGTCCCCAGGGGTGTTCCGAGGTGTCACAGCAGGATCCAGGTGTCCCAGGTGATGTCCTGGGTGTCCCCAGGTGTCACAGCAGGGTCCAGGTGTGTCCCCAGGTGTCACAGCAGGATCCAGGTGTGTCCCCAGGTGTCCCCAGGTGTCACAGCAGGGTCCAGGTGTGTTCCCAGGTGTCCCCAGGTGTCCCCAGGTGTCACAGCAGGATCCAGGTGTGTCCCCAGGTGTCCCCAGGTGTCACAGCACGATCCAGGTGTAGCGCTCGTTGTCCGCCAGAACCTTCAGGGAACAGCCTGGGGGGGGGGAAGGGGGGAGGGGAAAAGCAGCGATGGGGGAGGGGCAGGGAGACCCCAAACCCAGGCACGACCCCACCCAAATCGCCCTGGACCCTCCCAAATGTCCCCAAATCCTCCAGGACCCCTGGGAGCTCTCAGACCCCCCACCAGACCCCCCCAGCCCCTCCAGGGACCCCCAAAACTCCCCCAGGACCCCCTCAGAACCCTCTAAACTCCCCCAAGAGCCCCTGAGACCCACCCAGGGACCCCCCAGGACCCCCCCAGCCCCTACAGGGACCCCCCGAACTCCCCCAGGACCCCCTCAGAACCCACCAGGCACTCCCCAGACCCCTCCAGAACCCTCTAAACTCCCCCAAGACCCCCTGAGACCCACCCAGGGACCCCCTCATACCCCTCCAGGGACCCCCCAGACTCCCCCAGGACCCCCCAAATGCCCCCTTAGCCCCCGGCCCACCCTTGTGCAGGGCCTCGTTGGTCATCCTGTGCACGCCGCGCCCGGGCGCCTCGGGCACGAGCCACCGCATCACCGTGTCCACGCAGCCCTTACGGTACGAGCTCCACACGCTGCCGCTGCCGCGGCGGGTCGGGGGCGGCCGGACCCCCCAGGACCCCCACAGCCCCACGGGGACCCCCCACACCACCACGGGGACCCCCCAAACCACCAGAGAGACCCCCCAAACCACCACGGGGACCCCCAAAGCCCCAGAGAGACCCCCAGACCCCACCACAGGGACCCCCAAACCCCCACAGGGACCCCCAAACCACCACGGGGACCCCCAGACCCCCACAGGGACCCCCAAACCCCCACAGGGACCCCCAGACCCCACCACAGGGACCCCCACAGGGACCCCGGGGTCCCCACGGGCGCCGATGCCCCGCAGGGTTTGGGGCACCCCAAGAACAGGCGCTGCCGAGGGGGGCTCGGGGTGATTTGGGGGGGAGATCGGGGAGGTTTGGGGGGGATTTGGGGGGCTCAGGGAGGTTTAAGGGGGCTCAGGGTGGGGCACAGAGAGTTTGGGGAGGGCTCCCTGAGCCCCTCCAGGACCACAAAAAGTGCTCCAGGGGGTCTCACCCAGCACCCAGGAATGGAACCAGCGCCCCCAAAGCCCCCTAAAATCACCCCAACCCCCCCCCCCAGCCCCCTCCAATCACCCCCAAACCCGCTGCCCCTCACCTGGTCTGCCCCCTGACCTCGCTGAGGTCGCCCACCCCCACGGTGGTGAAGGCGCCGCTGTTGAGGTCCCAGGCCACCTTCAGGCTCGTGTGGTACGTCCTGGGGCTGCCAAGGGGGGGGTCAGCACCAGGGGGGCTCAGGGGGGGCTTTGGGGGACCCCCGCCCCGCTCACCGGAGCTGCCCCTGCCCGTCGGGGGAGGGGAAGGCCAGCAGCAACAGCCCGATGTTGATCACCACCTGGCTGGTCTCGGGGCACACCTGGGGGGGACACACAGGGGTTTGGAGGTGTCCCATGGGGGTTTGGGGGGGTTTTGGGGTATTCCAGGGGGCTCTGGGTGGGGTTTGGGGTATCCCATGGGGGACTGGGTGGGTTTTGGGGGGTTTTGGGGTATCCCATGGGGGTCTGGGTGGGTTTTGGGGTATCCCAGGGGGGTTAAGGGTTCCCATGGGGGTCTGGGTGACTCCTGGGAGGGGTTTTGGGGTGTCCCAGTGTCCCGAGGGGTCTCTGGGGGTCTCTGGGTGACCAGGGGGTCTCTCTGAGTGACCCGGGGGTCTCTCGGGGGGTCCCGGGGGTCTCTCTGGGGTCTCTCAGGGGGTCCCGGGGGTCTCTCGGGGGTCTCTCGGGGGTCTCCCGGGGGTCCCGGGGCCCACCTCGAGGATGACGATGTCGTAGTCGCTGAAGGAGCAGAACTGCCGTGCCCAGGCCGCGTCCTTGCGGATCACCTCGTTGATGACGTACTCGAAGTCCAACGTCAGCTGCTCCACCGTCAGGAACTGCCCCTGGGGGGATTGGGGGGTCAGCGCCGCCCCACCCGCCCCCCGCCCCACTTTGGGGGTCCCCCGAGGGGGTCTGGGGTCCCCCAGCCCCACCTGGGCCGTGGCTCGCTCCCGCAGCGGCCTCAGGCTGCGCCCGGTCAGGTCGGTCACCACGAAGGGCAGCGAGATCTTGTCGTCCTCCAGCTCTGGGGGGGCACGGGGGTCACCCCGGGACGGGGGGGGGCACGGGGGTCACCCCGGGACCGGGGGGGGCGCCCCCAGCCCCGCCAGACCCCCCCGGACCCCCACTCACCCTCGGGGGGCTCCCCAGGCTCCAGCACGTAGCGCAGTTTGGTGTAGTTGACGTAGCCGGGCTCGGGGGGGGTCCCGGGTGGGGAGGGGTCCCCCGGGGGGCTCCCGGGCGTCCTGGGGGGGGTCTCGGGGGGCGCCCCGCGGGGGGAGGGCGGGGGGTCGTCGCCCCCCTCCCCGTGCCCCCCTCCGGGCCCGCCCCCCGCGCCCTGAGCCCTCCGGAACAGGTCGGCCACGAACTCCTTGGCTTTGGCCACCGCCAGGGACGGGGGGCCGGGGGGCAGCTCGGGGGGCTGGGGGGGGCCCGGGGGGGGCTGTGCGGCCGGGGGGGCGCCCCCAGACCCCTCCAGCTGCTCGGGGGGCTCTGGGGGGGCGTTCTCCCCCCTCCGGCCGGGGCCCAGGAGGTTCCGGCGCCGGTAGAGGATCTGCTGGGGGCTGCTGTCACCTGCGGGGGACGTGGGGGTCAGGGGGCTTTGGGGGTCCCAGGGGGTCCCAGGGGGTCCTGGGGGGTGTGCAGGGGTCGGGGGGCTCGGGAAGTTTGGGGGGGGTCTCATTGGGGGTCCCAGGGGGGCTTGGAGGGTTCTGGGATCTCCTCGTGGGTTTGGGCAGTTCTGGGGGGCTCGAGAGGTTTTGGGGGTCTCGGGGGGGCTCAGGGGGTCCCGGCAGCAGGGGAGGGGTCTTGGGAGGTTCAGGGTGTCCCGGGGAGGTTCAGGGGGTCCCGGTGGGGTCTCAGGGGGTCCTGGGGGGGGGTCTCAGAGGTCCCAGGGTGATTCGGGGGGTCCCGGGGGGGTCTCAGAGGTCTCAGGGTGATTCAGGGGGTCCTGGGGAGGTTCAGGGGGTCCCGGGGGGTCCCAGGGGGGGTCCCGGGGGGGGTCCCGGGGGGGGTCCCGGTACCGGCGGGGTGCACGGCGATGGCGCAGGCCACCAGGGAGAAGCTGGTGTTGAGCAGCACGACGTGGTCCTTGCGCAGCTGGAAGGCGGGCTGGAAGGTGGGGAAGGGGTACACCACCTGGAACTTGGTGTGCAGCAGGAACCCGTGCCGCAGGCAGGCCCGGGGGGCTTCGCCTGGGGGCGGGGGGGGCGTCAGGGGGGCGCCCCACACCGGGGAACCCCCCGAGAACCCCCCCAAAGAAAATCAAAACCCCCAAATCGATCGCAGTGGGGGAACCGCCAGCCCGGGGCGCAGGAGGTTCCCGGGGGGCTCAGTGGGTCGGGGGTCTCACGGTGGGTCTGGGCTCTCCCCCCCCGTGGGTCTGGGGTCTCCCTCCCCGTGGGTCGGGGGTCTCCCTCCCTGTGGGTCTGGGGTCTCCCTGTGGGTCCGGGGTCTCCCCGTGGGTCTGGGGTCTCCCCGTGGGTCGGGGGTCTCTCTCTCAGTGGGTCTGGGGTCTCCCCGTGGCTCTGGGCTCTCCCCCCCCGTGGCTCGGGGGTCTCCCGTGGGTCTGGGGTCTCTCTCCCCGTGGGTCTGGGGTCTCTCTCCCCCTGGATCTGGGCTCTCCCCGCCGTGGGTCAGGGGTCTCACGGTGGGTCGGGGGTCTCTCTCCCCGTGGGTCTGGGGTCTCTCAGGGGCTCGGGGGTCTCCCGTGGGTCGGGGTCTCACCGGGGGTCTCTGCCCCCCGCCGGCAGGCCGGGCAGTGCCGCGTTGGGGGCACGGCCACGGCGCTGACATAGATGTCGCGGTGGTTCTCGTCGCTCATCAGCATCGCGCTCACCTGCAGCCCCGGCGCCGAGCGCGTGCTGCCACGGGGGGGACAGCCCAGTCACCTGGGGGCACCTGGGGGCACCTGGGGGCACCTGGGCCACGCCCCAGCCAGGGGAGGGGGCACCCACTTGAAGCCGAAGACGATGACCATGTCGCTGTCCCCGGGCCACTCGCACACCGTCAGGTACAGGTCGCTGTAGATCTCCTCGCCCTGGAACAGCCGCACCTGGCGCACCTGGCGGGGCGGGGGCGGCACCGGGTGTCACCTGAGGGCGCCCAGGTGTCCCCAGGTGTCCCCAGGTGTGCCCTGGCTGTCCCCAGCTGTCCCCAGGTGCCCCCAGGTGTGCCCTGGCTGTCCCTGGGATGTACCCAGGTGCCCCCAGGTGCCCCCAGGTGTGCCCAGGTGTGCCCTGGCTGTCCCCAGGTGCCCCCAGATGCCCCGGGTGCCCTCACCAGGCGCAGCTTGCTGTGCACGTTGAACTCCCACCAGTACAGGTGGTACAGGTAGAAGGAGAAGTCGTCCCCGGAGCTGCTGGTGTAGGACAGGACGTAGCGGCCGCACTTGGAGAAGCCCAGGAAGATGTGCCTGGGAACACCAAACAGGGCAGGGAGGTGACAAAGGGACCCCAAAACGGGCACAGGGAGGTGAAAAAGGGACCCCAACACGGGCACAGGGAGGTGACAAAGGGACCCCAAAACGGGCACAGGGAGGTGACAGAGGGACACACAGAACGGGAGTGACACACAGAGGAAGGGTCACGCCAGAGACCCCAAGGAGATGGGGACCCCTGAAGATTTGGGGTCCCTCTTTGCAGATTCAAGATCCCCCCCTGTGCAAATTTAGGATTCCTCCTGCACTTTTGCCCCCCCCCCCCCCCCGCAGATGTGGGGTCCCTCCCTGCAGATCTGGGGTCCCCTGCACACATTTGGGGTCCTTCCCTTCCGATTTGGGGTCCCCTGCACACATTTGGGGCTCCTCTTTGCAGATCTGGGGTCCCCTGCACACATTTGGAGTCCCTCCCTGCAGATCTGGGGTCCCCCGCACACATTTGGGGTTCCTCTTTGCAGATTTGGGGTCTGCCCTCACCCTGCCCACAGGAACTCCACGTCCACGATGCTCTTGAGGGCGACGCAGACGCGCGGCGGAAGTTTCCGGAACAGCCGGGGCGAGAGCTGCCCGCTGAGCTGGGGGGCACGGGGGGTCAGGGACCCCCAGGCACCCCAAAACCCAGGGCAGGGCTGAGCTGGGGGGCACGGGGGGTGAGGTAGCCCCAAAACCTCCCCCCGACACCCCCAGACCCCTCAGACACCCTCAAACCCCTCAGACACCCTCAAACCCCTCAGGACCCCCCAAACCCCTCAGGACCCCCCCAAGCCGCAGTTCCCCCCTCAGCTCCCCCACCCCATCTTCGGGACCCTCCACCCTGTCCGCGCCCCCTCAGAACCCCCTCAGAGCCCCCTCAGAGCCGCCGCCTCAGCCCTGCCCCGTTTCCCCTCAGCCGCCCCCTCACAGCGCCCCCCCCCCACATCCCCGCGCCCCCCAGCCCGCCGCGCGCACCCGGACGCGGTCCAGCTGCCGGACGAGGTGCTCGCGGCGGCCCCGGGGCGCGGTCCCGGCCGCTGCCGGCCCCGCCGTCCCGCGTTTCCCCCCGGGGCCGCCCCGCTCCGCTTTCGAGCTCGGCGCCATTTTCCCGGCCCGGCCGCTTCCGGCGCGCCGCGCGCCGCGCCCGCCCCGCCCACGCCGCGCTCCGACTGGTCGTTGATGCAGCGCCCACGAAGCTCATTGGTTGGAGCGTACGTCAATCGCCCGCGCGCCCCGCCTCTACGCGGCGATGCAACCAATGGGAATCCGGCAGCCACAATGCGATTAGCTGCTGCCCGTGTCCGTCTTTTCTGGCGGGGTTGCCATGGAGACGATACAGCGCGGGGGCGGGACCGGGCGGTGGGCGTGGCCATTGCCGTGATTGACAGCTGGGGGCGCATCGGGAGTAACCAAAATCCACGTTTTTCCGCTTAAAAGCTTTATCGTAATTATAATTCATTATAATAATCTTTGAGAGCGCCCGGAACAGCCCCTCCCCTACAGGCACTTGGGGGGGATCCGCTTTGGTGGGGGTGGGGGACACGCGGACCCGGGTGGGGAGGGGTCGGTGTCACCCCAAAATTGGGGGGAGTCATTATCAGCCTAAAATTGGGGGGGGGTCATTTCACCCAAAAGCTGGGGGGAGTCATTATCAGCCTGAAACCAGGGAGGGGGTCATTATCACCATGAAATTGGGGAGGGGGTCACTGTCACCCTGTCACTGAGTGGGGGTCGTTGTCACCCCGGGGGGGGGATGTAGCAGCTCTGATCCCTGTGATTGTCACAGTGGGCATGGGGGGGTGGGGGGAGAATGTCCCCAGAGCCCCCCAAAATCGGGGGCTGGGGTCTCTGAGCCTCCCCAAAACCCCACTTGAAGTGGGGGGGGGGCTTCATCCACGGAGCTTTCGGAGCTGGAAGAAAAGAGGGCAGTGAGGGAGGGGTGGGGGGGTTGGGGGACCCCCAAATTTCCCCCCAGCCCCCCCCAGGTCCTCACCTCGCTCTCCACCAGGTTCCGTTTGTACAGAGCCTCCTTGGCTGCCTCCTGTGGGGGGGTTTGGGGGTCACGTCAGCAATTTGGGGGTCACGGGAACTGGAAGGATGTCAGGTGGTCCAGGATTTTTGGAGGGGGGAGGCATCACCAGGATTTTTGGGGCAGAAACACCAGAATTTGGGGGTGTCCAGGAGGGACCGGGGGTGGTGGTTCAGGATTTTTGGGGTGGCACCACCAGAATTTGGGGGTGGTGCAGGGTTTTTGGGGTGGCACCACCAGAATCTGGGGGTGTGCAGGATTTTTGGGGCGGGACCAGCAGACTCTGGGGGCCCCCCGGGGGGTGTGGGGCGATCCCCGGGGCCGCCGCGGGTCTCACCCGCTCGCCCTGGGTCCCGAGGCGCCGCGCCGCCTCCGTGTAGAGCCGCAGGTGCCGCTCCAGGTGCTCCGCGTACTCTGCGGAAAACACCGGGATAACGCGGCGGGGAAAAACACCGAGCTAACGGAGGGTTTTGGGGGGTCAGCGCTGCCCCCCGACTCTCACCCGTGCGGAAGCGGGGGTCCCCGCCCTGCAGCCGCGCCCGCAGCCCCTGGATGCGCCGCTGCAGCTCCTGGTGCTGCTGCCGCAGCTCGGGGGGCACCGGGCGCCCGGCGCGGCCGAGCGGCACCATCTGGGGAGGGGGCGACAAGCCGGGGGTCAGGGGCGGCCCCGGGGGCTCCCCTGCTCCCCCAGAGCTCCGCCGGCGCCCCTCACCTTCCGCTCCAGGCGCTCCCGGTCGAACAGCAGCAGGTTGAGGCTCGGCAGCGTCGGGAGGGCTCTGGGAAAAGGGGTCGGGGTGGGGATGGGGGCGCCCCGAAAAGCCAGCGCGGCTCCGGGATACCGGAGAGGGGGAACGGGGGGGGTCCCAGAGCTTCCCACCCCCAATTCCCAGCCCCGTCCCACCGGTGTTCCCATTCCCGGGGCTCACCTGTTGTTCCCGTCCTTCGGGGCCGCCGCGCTCGGTTTGGGAACGGCGACCTGGGCGGGAGGAGCTCGGGGTCAGCCCCGGCTGATCGGGCCGGGGTGAGCCCGCGGGGTCCCGACGGTTCCCGGCCGATCCCGGGGGCTTCCCGGCCAATTCCAGCGGTTCCCGACCGATCCCGGGGGGTTCCCGGCAAATCCCGGTGGTTCCCTGCCGATCCCGGTGGTTCCCGACCGATCCCGGGGGGTTCCCGGCCAATTCCAGCGGTTCCCCACCGATCCCGGGGCAGTTCCCGGCTAATCCCGGTGGTTCCCGACCGATTTTGGGGGGTTCCCGACCGATCCCGGTGGTTCCCGACCGATCGCGGGGCAGTTCCCGGCTAATCCCGGCAGTTCCCCACCGACCCTGCGGGGTCCCGGTGAGCTCCCGGTGCGCTCCCGGCACTCACCGTGGGCTCCGCCGCCGGTTCCAGCACCAGCCAGCGCTCGGAGCGCGGCTCCAGCTGCCGCTGCGGCCCCAGCGGCTCCCGGATCCGCACCCACACCTCGAGCCGGCCGCCGGTGCGGCGCCGCCCGTCCAGGAGCTGCGGACACCGGGAACGGGGGAACGGTGGGAACGGTGGGAATGGTGGGGCTGGGAAGCGCCGGGAGCAGGAATGAAAGCCACGGGAACGCTCGGAAGGGGAAGGGGCACAGCTGGGACCACCGGGAAGGGCCGGGAAAGAGGAAGGGGCACATCTGGCACCACCAGGAAAAAGAGGCACATCTGGCACCACCAGGAAAGAGGAAGGGGCACATCTGGCACCACCAGGAAAGAGGAAGGGGCACATCTGGGACCACCAGGAAAGAGGAAGGGGCACATCTGGGGACCCGGGGAATTCGGGGCATCGGGAATCTCCTCCTCACCTCCAGCTGCTCACGGAGCTCGCAGCTCCCCTCCAGCCCCTCCAGGCGCAGCTGAACCGAGCCCAGAGCCCGCTCCGGCCGGAACAGTCCCCTGCGGGTCAGGCCGAGCGCTCGGACCGCGACGGGAGCGAGAAAACGAACCCGCCCCACCAAGGCCCCGAAGAAATCCCAACTGCGGCATCCCAGAGGCGCCTCTCACCCCGACACTTGTGGATTTTCCAGCTCGTGATCCGGGGTTTTGCGCTCTTCTCTGTATTTCCTATTTCCTTTGCTGTTCTATCTGTTTTCTGTGTTATTTTCTGTATTTCCCATTGTATTTTCTGTGGTATTTTCTGTATTTCCCACTGTATTTTCTGTGGTATTTTCTGCATTTCCCACTGTATTTTCTGTGTTATTTTCTGTATTCCCACTGTATTTTCTGTGTTATTTTCTGTATTTCCACTGCATTTCCTGTGTCATTTCCTGCATTTCCCCCCCCATTCCCCCCACTTTTCCCATTCCCCACCCCCTCCCCATTCCCCGCCTCACCCCCCACCCCGTCGCTCCCCACATTTCCCCCGTTTCCCTCTCCCCAAATCCCCCGTACCCTTTCTGGGTCACCTCCAGCCGGATCCCGCGGGAGCTCAGGAGCCTCCGCAGCCCCCGGTGGCCCCGGAGCAGCCGCAGCCGGAACCGCGCCCGGAACTCTGGGGAGGGGGCGCAGAATCAGGGGGCGACCCCTGGGGACACCCCCGGCCCCCGGGACCCCCCAGAATCCCGGGATTTACCGGGACAGTCCGTGCCCTTCACCACGTTGGTCTTGTCCCGCTGGGCCTCCTCCTGTGGGGAGGTTTTGGGGTCAGGGATAATTTGGGGAGGGGTCCCCGAGCACTGGGGACATTTTGGGGGTCACCAGGACAATTGTGGGAGGGGTCCCCGAGCACTGGGGACATTCTGGGGTCACCAGGACAATTTGGGGGGGTCCCAGGTGACCCCGAGCGTTGGGGACATTCGGGGGGTCACTCACCACGCTGGGGTGGGGGAACTCGAAGCGCACGAAGGTGTCCAGGTCACCTGGGGCCACACCTGGTGGGTGGGGGGGACACACAGGTGGCTCCAGGTGTGCAGGGGCCTCACCCACCCCGGCCCCCCGGCATTCCCAGTCCTCCCAGTCCCTCACCTGGCGGCACTGGGAGGCCGATCCCTCTCTCTATGCCCAGCTCCAGGTCGCTGCTGCTCAGCTCCGGGAACGTCCTGCAGGTGAAGGTGGGGCAGAACCTGTCAGACCTCCCCGCCCAGGTGTGCCACCCGCACCCAGGTGTGCCACCCGCACCCAGGTGTGCACCCTACCCCAGATGTGCACCCCACAGCGTTCCCCACCCCCCAGGTGAGCCCCCTCAGGTGTGCACCCTACCCCAGATGTGCCCCCCACACCGTTCCCCATCCCCCAGGTGAGCCCCCCACCCCAGATGTGCCCCTCCCCGGGTGTTCCCCACCCCAGATGTGCCCCTCCCCGGGTGTTCCCCACCCCAGATGTGCCCCCAGGTGCCCCCAGGTGTTCCCCACCCCAGATGTGCCCCCAGGTGCCCCCCAGGTGAGCCCCCCCTCACTTGATGATGCTGAAGGTTCTCTGCTCGTAGCGGGGTCTCGGGGGGGGCCCCCCCCGGCCGTGCTCCCTCCTCAGGGTCTCCATGTGCCGCCGGCACTCCTCGGCCAGCGCCTCGCACCTGGGGGGACACACCTGGACAGGTGAGCCCACCCCCCGCAGGAAGAGGAGGAGGAGGAGCCTGACCCCCCCTCCCCAGCCCAAACCTCACCTGGTGGTCTCCGAGATGTTCCCCAGGTGAGCGAATTGTCGGGAGTAGGTGAGGCACATCTGGGGGAGCAACGGGAGGGGAGGAAGAGGAGGAGGGAAAGGCAGAAAAGGAGAAAGGAGGAAAGGAAAAAGAAAAGAGGAAAAGGAAAAAGGAGACAAGGAAGATGGCCAAGAAGGGAAAAGGAGGAAGAGAAGGAAGTTTTCCATGCCATCCATTATCCTGGGGCGCTCCCCACTCCCCTCGATTCTTGGGGACGCTCCCGTTTTTTGGGCCACCATCCCATTTTAATGTCCCCCCCTTTTCTGGGCCATCAGCCCCACCTGGTGCTGCTTCCTCAGAGCCGCCGCCAGCTGCAGGAAGGTCTTGGCGACCTCGGGGGTCATCGGGACCCCCCGGGCCGGGCCCAGCTCGAACTCGGCGCCGTCCAGGGGCACCTCCGGCACCTACGGCAGGGATGGGGGATCCTGCGGGATCCGGCCCTGGGGCGGGATCCGGGCTGGACGGAGGGGCAGAGGACTGACCTGGGCGATGTCCACGGGCAGCCCCCCGCGGGCGGCCTGCAGGAGCCCCTCGACGCCCTTGGCGCGGCGCAGCAGCAGCTTGGCTCCCTCCAGGTCGTTGCGGCGCTTGGCGCGCAGCGCGGCCTGCGCCAGCTGCCGGCGCCGCAGCTCCAGGAACTCCAGCTGCTGCTGGGCTGGGGGGGCGCGGGGTCAGGGGGACCCTCGCCCCGCTGGGAGGGGGCAGGAGGTGCCCTGACCCCCCATCGCTGCCCCCAGCCCCTCCCGGTACCTTTCCCAGCAGGTTTGGGAGCCGCTTGGGAATTCCGGGCTGGTTGTTTGGGAGGGGGCACAGGGGGAGCGCTGGGCTGCGCCTGGAGGACAGGATGAGAATCACTGGGAATGTCCCCCCCTGCAAATCCCCTGGATTTCCTCCCCACCCCACCTAACCAAAATCCTGCCTTGGTGTCCTCCTTTTCCTCCTCTTCCTCCTCCTCTTCCTCCTGCTCTGGCGCCGCCAGCCTGGAGGCCGCCTCCAGCATCCCGGAGATGCTGGGCTCGGCCGGGGTCTCCGTGCCCTGGATGGGGGGGAAGCCTGGAAAAGGGGAGGGCCCCGGTGGGAACGGGACCTTCCCGCCCCCCCTGTGCCCCCCGGGGTCAGGGAGAGGGACGGGGAACGTACCCGGGGGCACCGGCAGCTCCGAGAGATCCACGGCCTTGCCAGCACTGTGGGCACGGAGCGCGGCCTGGTATTGCTGGGGAGGGGCACAGGGGGTCAGGGGCACCCCGAGGGGCGCTGGGACAGACTGGGAGCACTGGGGACAGACTGGGAACACTGGGACAGACTGGGAGCACCCACAGATGGGGACTGGGAACACTGGGGACAGACTGGGAGCACTGGGGACAGACTGGGAGCACCCACAGAGGGGCACTGATGTCATTGTGGGGAAACTGGGACTGGGATCCCCGTTCTGGGACTGGGATCCCCGTTCTGGGACTGGGATCCCCCCTCTGGACTGGGATCCCCGTTCTGGACTGGGATCCCTACTCTGGACTGGGATCCCCACTCTGGACTGGGATCCCCACTCTGGAACGGGGATCCCCTCTGGGCTGGGATCCCCCCGGGCTGCAGCCCTCCCACCTTGACGATCCTCTCGTGCATCCGCGCCTTCCTGGCGTCCCCGCTGTCCTTGGCCTGGCCCGCGGCCGCCCGGTACCGCTCCATGCGCTGCTCCAGCGCCTCCCGCACGTCCCGCGGCGCCCGGGGGGGCTCTGGGGTGGCACAAACGGGGAAATCCCAACAAATCCCCCTTTTCCTCCCCGTTCCCCCTCCCAGGAGGGAGCTGACCTGGGCTGGTGGCCGGCGGATCCCTCGCAGGTGGATCCCTCGCAGGTGGATCTCTCGCTGGTTGATCCCTCGCTGGTGGATCCCTCACTGGTGGATCCCTCGGCTCCTCTGGCTGTGGATCTGCAGGAAAGGAGCAGCCAGATCCCACCAGGACCCCCAAAACGGGGCAGTTTGAACCGGGGGTTCCACCGTTTCCATCGGGGTCGGGGTCTCACCCGGGGCTGGCGGAGCCCGGCCTTGCCCCAGCGCCTCCAGCTGTGCCTCCAGCCTCTGGAAAACCACAGGAAAATGGGAATTCTGGGGAAAGAGAAGGGATCTGGGGGGGACTCCAGGAATGCTGGGCGTTACCTTGGCCGCCCTGAAGTGCTCCAGGGCCATGGCGTTGTCCCCACGGCGTTTGGCCCCCAGGGCTTCCTTCTGCAGCTCCTGGAGGCGCAGGCGGAGCACCGGCACCGAGCCGGGACCCGGGCAGGGGTCCGGGGCTGGGGGAGGCTGGGCAGGGGCTGGGGGCTGCACTGGGGGCTCGGGGCTCACAGCGGGAGGCGCCCCAGGGGTCCCAGTTGCCTTCCCCAGAGCCACGGGAGGGGGAATCTCAGCCTGGTCGATCGGCTTCCCGCTCCGCACCGACTCCAGCATCTGCTCCAGGGTCTGGGGGCAAAGGGGGATTGGGAAAAGGGTGAAAATCTGGGGGAAAGGGGTGACATGGGGGCAGAGCATGGAAAAACGGGGTAGAAATAGGATCTGCAGCTGGAAAACGGGATAAGAGTCAGGGCTGAAGGAAAGGAAACAGGTGGGGTAGAAAATAAGGGAGTGACGTGGAATAATAATAATAATAATATGGAATAATAATAATGGAATAAGGGGAATATAATGGGATTTCATTGTCATGAAACTGGTCAGAACTGGGGAAAGTGAGATAGAAGTGAGCTCAGAACTGGAAAAAGTCAGATAAAAGTGGGCTCAGAACTAAAACAGTGAGACAAAGGTGGGCTCAGAAGTGGGAAAATCAGGCAAAAGTGGGCTCAGCACTGGGGAAACCAGCACGAAACTGCTCCGATTCAGGCCGAACTGGCTCAGAACTGTGCCAAGCTGCTCGATATCTGGGAAGAACAGCGCGGAGCCAGGGCCGGTCCAAGGCTTTGAGGGGTTGGGCTCACCTTGAGGCCGCGCTGGAGGCGCCGCAGCCGGGCCCCGCTGCTCCCGTTGTTGTTCCCGTTGTCGTTCCCGCTGCTCCCCAGGGCAGCCCGGTAGAGCTGTGCCCGCTCCTCCAGCTCGGCCAGCAGCGCCGCCGCGGGCGCGGGATCCTGCGGGAACACCGGGAGCACCGGGAACACCGGGAACACCGGGAACACCGGGTGCACCGGGAACACCGGGAACTTTGGGAACACCGGGAGCACCTCCGGGATCCACCCTGGGATCCACCCTGGGATGAATCAAACTGGGATGGGCACTGGGACGGGCACTGGGATCAGGACTGGGACGGGCACTGGGACGGGCACAGGGAGCACTGGGATGGGCACTGGGAGCACTGGGAGCACTGGGATGGGCACTGGGAGCACTGGGACGGGCACTGGGATCACCCCGGCTGTACCTGCGGGGTCTCTGCATCCGCTGGACTCTCAGACCCCTCCTCCAGCACCTCCTGCAGCTCTGCCTGCCCAGAGATCCCGGGAATCAGCCTGGGCGGGATCCCTTTTCCAGCCCCAGAGATCCCGGGAATCAGCCTGGGCAGGATCCCCGTTTCCAAGCTCAGCACCTCCCCCCTCACCAGCAGCTCCTCCTCATTCTCCAGATCTTCCTCCCCTTCCTCCTCCTCCTCCTCCTCCTCCTCCGGGGGGTCCCGCAGGCAGAGCTGGGCCAGGGCCTCCACGGCTGCCAGATCTGGGGGGGCACGGGGGGGGTCACAAACCCATTTTGGGGGTCCCAGTGCCCATCCCAGTCCCCCATTTTGGGGGGAGCGGGTCCCCGCTGGAGGAGGAGGGGGATTCACCTCGGGGGGGCGGCTGGGGCCGCTCCGGCGCCTCCCGGCCCCCCAGCAGCAGCAGCAGCTCCGCCTCCAGCGCCGCGTCCCCGTCCGCGTCCCCCGGGCTGCCCCCGGCACCGGGGCCCGGCAGCAGCCCCATCTGGGGCGGGGGGACACGCTGAGGGGACCCCGCGGCCCGGAGGGAGGGATCGCCCCCAGGCCCAGGGATCCCCCAGAGGGTTCGAGGCGGAGCGGGGGAGGACGGGACCCCCCCCCTGGCACCCGGAGAAGGGGGTCCCGGGGGTCACACGCACCTGCCTGGCCACGGCGGCGCCCCGGCCCGGGACCCTCCCGGCTCGGCTCATGGCTCCGCGTCCGCCGGGCCGCGCTGGGGACGGGGAGCACGGCGAGACCCCGGCCTGAGCCGCACCGCGCCCCAGCGAGCCTCTCCGGGGTCCTCCGAGCCGCCTCAGCGCCCCGATCCCCCTCAGAGCCCTCAGAGCCCCCCGATCCCCCTCAGAGCCCCCCGAGCCCCGATCCCCCTCAGAGCCGCTCCAGTGCCCCGATCCCCCTCAGAGCCCCCCGAGCCCCGATCCCCCTCAGAGCCGCCTCAGCGTCCCGATCCCCCTCAGAGCCCCGATCCCACTCAGAGCCCCAATCCCCCTCCGAGCCGCTTCAGCGCCCCAATCCCCCTCAGAGCCGCCTCAGCGCCCCAATCCCCCCGAGCTCCCCGCGCCCCTCACGGCCCCACGGCGCCTTTGCCCCCTCCCAGAGCGCCCCACACGACACCGCCCCCCCCTCCAGCTGCCCGCAGCCCCTCACCCCCAGTCGCGGCGCCCCCAGCGCTCCCGGTTATCCCGGTTTATCCCGGTTTATCCCGGTTTATCCCGGTTTACCCTCACTCACTTCCTGCTCCGCCGGCCGCTGTCAACACCCCGCGCTTTACAGCGCCGCTGTCGCAAAAGCCGCTGTCGCAAAAGCCGCTCTGCCTCGCGAGAGAACTACAACTCCCAGCGTGCCCCAGCGCGGCGGGAAAAGGCGGGAAAACCGTGAGGGGGACGGCGCCCCGAGGTGGAAAATGGGGAAAAACCGGCGAAAACTCCGCGGTTTTCACCCCAGGCCCTGAGGGTTGGGGGCTCTTTGTTGCGGTTGTGCCTTTAGGGGAGCTGGGGGTGTTGTTTGGGCTGACGGGGGTCGAGGGCTGTGAGGGGGAAACGCTGCTGAGGCCTGAGGGGAGCTGAGGTGATTTGGGGCTGTGAAATGCGGATGAAAAATCAAACCCTACAACTCTAATAAAGATTTGTAGGGAATGGAATGTTTATTCACAGCGCTGTGGGCGCATGTGGGAACTCATCGCCCTTTAATGGACATGCGCACCTCTGAGAACTCCCGATCCTTTTTTATTACCTTGACTCATTTCTGTATGCATAGAATTTTACAATAGGTTAATGCATATTCATTATGCTGATTTTACGTTATATTTACAGCTAGTTATACTTGTACTCAGTTTCTGTTAGAAAGTACAGAAAGAACTCCTGGGTCACTCTGCCCTCTCTGGTTTAAGGTCCGAGGAGTTTTTCTTATTTCTTATCTTTTCAGTGTGGAAATTTGCACTCTTTCTCTTTAGCTGGGGTAGTTTTTCTTGGGCTGCAGTTACCAGACTAAACAGCACATTTAGCAAGCTCAAAGCAGCACATTTCGCCTAAACCCAAATAGATTTCTACTCTGTTAAATTTCCACTCTGTCTCAGTGCTCCTTGTCCCTCCCAGCAGCGCCAGGATGGGGAAGCGCAGGAGCCGCCCGCTGCCAGGTAAAAGGAAAACAACACCCAAATTTCCCAGTCTGGGGCTTCCAGCTGGGATCTCCCCACATCCAAACTGAGATTTCCTTTTTTCCCCCCTGGACACACACCACAGGTGACAGGAAGTTCCACACTCCCAAACCCAAGCGGATCCTTCAGGAAGCACCAGGAGATCCTGCTGGGATGGAGCCCGAGCTCCCAGCAGAGGGAAAAACTCCCCAAATTGGGGGTTTTAATGTGATTTTTCAGGAGGGGAGAGGCGAGGAGATTGGAGGTGGCAGAGCACCAAAATGGGGCATTTCTGGTGGGGTGGAAGAGAATCATTTGGAAGTACCCCAGCTGGGAATTTTGGAAGTGGATGGGATAGGAGAGGATCAGCTGGAGTCACCAAAACCAGGAATTTTGGATGGGGCAGGAGAGAATTGTCGAGAATCGCCAAAACCGGCAATTCTGGAGGTGGATGCAGCAGGAGAGGAGCAGTTGGAGTCTCTGAAAGTGGGGATTTTGGATAGAACAGGAAAAGAGAAGCTGGAATCACCAAAACCAGGAATGTTGGAGGTGGATGGGGCAGGAGAGGAGCAGCTGGAGTCACCAAAACCAGGAATTTTGGATGGGGCAGGAGAGACTTGTCGAGAATCGCCAAAACCGGCAGTTTTGGAGGTGGATGGGGCAGGAGAGGAACCCCCAGAGTCAGTGAAATGTGTAATTTTGGACGGAATGGGACAGAACCATCTGGAATCATCTCAGCAGGGAATCTTGGAGGGGGGTGGAGCAGGAAAGGAGAAGTTGGAATCACCAAAACCAGGAATGTTGGAGGTGGATGGGGCAGGAGAGGAGCAGCTGGAGTCACTGGAAGTGGGAATTTTGGATGGAATGGGAGAGGAGCAGCTGGAATCACCAAAACCAGGAATTCCAGAGGTGGATGGGGCAGCAGAGGAGCAGTTGGAGTCACTGGAAGTGAGAATTTTGGATGGAATGGGAGAGGAGCAGCTGGAATCACCAAAACCAGAAATTCCAGATGGGGCAGGAGAGGGGCAGTTGGAGTCACTGGAAGTGGGAATTTTGGATGGAACGGGAGAGAAGCAGCTGGAATCACCAAAACCAGGAATTCCAGAGGCAGATGGGGCAGCAGAGGAGCAGCTGAAATCACCAAAATCAGGAATTCCAGAGATGGATGGGGCAGGAGAGGAGCAGCTGGAGTCACTGGAAGTGGGAATTTTGGATGGAATGGGAGAGGAGCAGCTGGAATCACCAAAACCAGGAATTCCAGAGGCGGATGGGGCAGCAGAGGAGCATCCAGAGCCAAACTGTGAAATTCCCAGACTGGGAGTTTTGGATGGAATGGGAGAGAAGGAACGGGAGCCAGCAGCAGGAGGGGACTCCGGAGTGCCCAAGGAACGCTCAGAGGTGACGGACACAGCGGGAGAGCGGCCAGAAGGTGCCCTGGAGGAGGGAAGTGGCGCTGGGATTGCCCTGGGAATGGACTCGGGGGCCCCAGACGGTCCCAGAGGTCCCCAGAGCGGAGCGGGGGACGCAGAGAGCAGGAGTTCCCAGAGTGGGAATTCCGGGATGTTCACACCAGGGTCAGGTCCTGCAGGAACCAGCAGCGAGCCCCAGGAGCAGCAGGAAGGGACCAGCCCAGAGCTCCCAGCGGAGAAGGTACAACTGGGGTGAGCCCAGACTGGGACCCAGGGACCCCTCCCCACCCAAACTGGGACCCAGGGACCCCTCCCCACCCCAAACTGGGACCCAGGGACCCCTCCCCACCCCAAACTGGGACCCTCCCGTCCCCTCGGCCTTCCCAGCTCCTCTTTCCCTGCAGCCACGGGACACCACAGGCCGGATCCACACCGGATCCACAGGGAGCAGCCCGTGGGAAAGGTGGGTGGATCCAGACCCTCCTGCAGGAATCAAATCCTGATTTTTGACTAAAATTCCCTGCCCGGGGAGCGGAAAACTGATTCTCCTTCCCCCGGCAGCGCCAAAGCCGCGGAGCCGGCGGATGCCAGCGACGTCGTCCGCGGGCTGATCCGGGAACTCTCAGACCTCAAGTAAGTCCCAAACCCACCCGTATTTCCTTGGGGGGGGGTCCGGCACCCCCTGAGCGGTGCCCACGTCCCCCACAGCCGCCTGGCCATGGGAGCCCGCCGAGGGCTGGAGCTGCTGAGGAGGCCGAAGCCACGGCGCGGCCGGAGGGCAGCGCCCAGCGGGAGCCGCTGGAAAGAGGGGTAGGGACGTCAGGAACAATAATAATAATAATTTATTGATGGAAACGATGGGAATAAACAAACCTTCGTCTGGAGAATGGTTCCAGCACTTGCTACCCACTGTGGTGGGTGAACAAATCCCACCAAACCCACCCAAATCCCACCAAACCCACCCAAAACGCTGGGAACGGCTGTGGTGGTGGGATAAAGGCTCTGACACTTGGAGCACCTGCCCCTTCCCAGTCCCCTCCTGGCCTGGGATTAACCAAAACTCCAAAATTCAACCCAAAACTCCTGGGGCCAGCTCCAGCACCTGGAGCTCCCCCTTCCTGGAGCTGGGATTAACCAAAACTCAACGATCCAACTCAAAATGTCTGGTAACACATCGAGCACTGACCCCTTTTGGGATTAACCAGAACTCAGAACTTAGAACTCAAACCTAACCCAAAACTCAGAACTGGCCCCCTGGCAGCACCCAAACCTGGCCGGAGCGACCCTTCGGGGTGGCACGGCGTCGGGAGGCGGCGCAGACTGGGGAGACTGGTCCCAGTCCAGCTCCAGGCCGTGGTCTCATCCTCTGAGGAAGTCCCTGGAAAAAAAGCCAGGAGAAAGAGGCAGGAGCACCAGGAAGCAGCACACGCAGCCCGTGTTAGTGCCGAATTGCCGATGGGATTCCTGCAGGAATCCCATCCTGGGTGAATCCAAGTCTCCTTCCTTCGTGTCACTTCTTTCCCAGTGCCTCCTCCTTCCTTCAGCTCTGGCTCCTTGGATTTCCCTCATGGAAATCCTGCTCCTGCCTAAATCTGGGCTTGGCTCTGAACACCCTCAGTGCCTGCATGGGCACAGGGAATCTTCCATCCTTTGGCTGCTTCCCCGTGCCACCTGTCTCCTGGTGCCCCCTCCTTGGCAGCCCTGACGGGATTCCTCGCGGGGAATCTGGCTAAGCCCAGCTTTGGATGCAGCACAGCCACCAAACCCCAAACCTGCGCGGGGACGTGGTGACATCCTCCATCCCTGCCGTGCCCCCTTCCCTCCCCCACGAGACTCCTCACAGGGCTCCAGCCCTGCACAAGCCCAGGACGTGCCACATCCCCCCGGTACCTGCACGGTGACAGGGGATCCTCCGTCGTCCCTTGGCTACATCCTGCCGTTCCTCTGCCTCCTCCCGGCGGGCAGCGGGTGGGAGTAGACGGACACGTATCCGCGGCGCGTGCGCGGGCAGAAGCGGCGCGTGTGGGCCTGGTCCTGCGTGGCCCCGCACTGCGGGCAGACGTAGCTGCGCAGCACCGGGCACTGCAGGCGGCCGCGGGCGTCGCGCAGGCTGTGGCTCTGGTACACGCCCGGCGCCTCGCCGTTGTGCTGGCAGAACGAGCACAGGGCTGGCTTGGGGCGTGCAGCCGGCCCCGTACGGGGAGCTGGGTTGGTGCGCGGAGCTGGCCCCACAGCTGGAGACGGCCCCACAGCTGGAGCTGGCCCCACAGCTGGAGACGGCCCCACAGCTGGAGCTGGCCCCACAGCTGGAGCCGGCCCCACAGCTGGAGCTGGCCCCACAGCTGGAGCCGGCCCCACAGCTGGAGCTGGCCCCACAGCTGGAGCTGACCCCACAGCTGGAGACGGCCCCACAGCTGGAGCTGGCCCCACAGCTGGAGATGGCCCCACAGCTGGAGCTGGCCCCACAGCTGGAGACGGCCCCACAGCTGGAGCTGGCCCCACAGCTGGAGCCGGCCCAGCACATGGAGCTGGCCCCACATGTGGACCTGGCCCCACAGCTGGAGCTGGCCCCACAGCTGGAGCTGGCCCCACAGCTGGAGCCGGCCCAGCACATGGAGCTGGCCCCACATGTGGACCTGGCCCCACAGCTGGAGCTGGCCCCACAGCTGGAGCTGGCCCAGCACACGGAGCTGGCCTGGCACACGGAGCTGGCCCCACATGTGGAGCTGTCCCCACAGCTGGAGCTGGCCCAGCGCACGAGGACACAGCTCCCAGTGGCACCACGCTGTCCCCACGGCCCGCGGGGTCATGGAGGCGCACGGCCACCAGCGCCGCCAGCCCGAGGTAGTCGCGCCACATGTCAAACTGTCCCGTGGCTTCCATGCGCGGCAGCGCAGCGTGGGGCGGGACACCACGGGCTCCTCGTGCCTCCCGTGCTGCTGGCGCGGCGCGGACCGGTGCCACCTCTCGTGCCACCTCTCGTGCCACCAGCGGTCCCCGCACGGTGCGTGGCAGGATGCGGCTCCCCCTTCCAGAAGCTTCTGGCGTCCCTGGTTCTGGTGTGGCACGCGGCTGGTGGTGTGGAGCTGGACACCGTAGCGCTCACTCCCGGTGCTCCCGGTGCTCCCGGTGCCCCCGGTGCTGCTCCCGGTGTCCCCGTTTCGGGCCTAGCCGCCTCGCGTGGTCAGTTCCGTCGCGTCCGGCGGTGTCCGGCGGTGTCTGCGCGTCCGGGCGGGCGGGGCACCGCGGCCGTGACCTTTTGGGATCCGGGGTTAATCACCGCAATTTCGGTAATCGCCGCGATGAACGCTCCCAGCCCCGGGGCATCCCAGGAATCCCGGAGCAGCGGCATTTTAGGGGAAGATCGGGAGGTTTTGGGGTTCTTCAGGGAATCGCTGGTTGCTCCTGCTGCGGGGGGGAAATGTGTGGGTTTGGGAAATTTCTGCCTGGAGGATCACCCCGGGATCATCGGGATGAATATCGAATATTTGGTGGGTTTACCCCAAACTCACTGACAGCCCGGGAGGGTCTGGGATCGATTGATCGGTGCCGGGAGGGTCTGGGATCGATCGATCGGTGCCCTGGCGGGACAGGGGATCCCACACCGGGAGGACTCGGGATCCAGCCTCATTCCCCGCCCTGCAGGACCCGGCGTGTCCTCCTCCATCCCGCCCTGGGCTTTGGGATCGGCTCTGATCCCGTCCTCCGGCGGGATCAGGGATCTGTTCTGTGGGGATCCCGGGGGGATCCCTGAGCTCCCGGGGGTGTCCCCGGGGTGGGTGGGATGTCCCCAGGTGTTCCCGGGGGTGTCCCCAGGGTGGGATGTCCCCAGGTGTCCCCAGGGTGTGTGGGATGTCCCCAGGTGTCCCCAGGTGTGGGTGGGATGTCCCCAGCGTGGGTGGGATGTCCCCAGGTGTCCTCAGGTGTCCCCAGGGTGTGTGGGATGTCCCGAGGTGTCCCCGGGGGTGTCCCCAGGTGTGGGTGGGATGTCCCCAGGGTGGGTGGGATGTCCCCAGGTGTCCCCAGGTGTCCCCAGGTGTGTCCCCAGGGTGGGTGGGATGTCGCCAGGTGTCCCCGCCCACTGCCCGCACGCCCCTCCCCTCGGCGCTGATTGGCTGCAGCCCCTCCCTCGGCCGACCCCGCCCCTTTAAGCCCCGCCCCTCTCCCTTAAAGGGGCCGCAGCCCCCGTTAACCCCTGCGAGCCCGGCCGGGGGGATCGTGGTCGGGATCTGCAGAGCGGGACCCCCGTGTTCCCTCCGGCGGACCCCAACCAGCGCACAGCCGCCCCCCGGCACTGGGGAGCAGGGGCTGGGTGTCCGGCACCATGTGAGCGGGGAAACTGAGGCACGGGAGGCGAGGCGGGGGAGGCTGAGCCGGCAGAGCCGCTCGCCGCTTCATCCCGGGGCCACCCCGGCGCCGCTGCCGTGGCGGTCCCGTTGCCGCGCCGTCCTGCCGGTCCCCGGGGGTCCCTGTGCCCGGTGGTCCCGACGGCTCCTCCCGGGGGTCCTGGCGGCTCCTCCCGGTGGTCCCGGTGCCCCCAGCGGCGCCGCCGCCCCGGCCCGGCCCCGCCCGGTGACTCACCGGCCGCTACAAGTCGGGGCTTGGCGCCGGGAGAGGGAGGGGGGGCAGGCGGGGGGAGGGGGGTGTCCCCCCAAACACCGGGAGGGGCCCCAGAGGTTTGGGGGGGGGGTCTGGGGGGTGCCGGGGGGGCATTGCTGTGAAAGCGCCTTTGTCCGGACCCGCCGATCCCACCCCGGGGTGACTCACGGCCGCGTGGTTCGGCCCTGACTCACCCCCCACGCACCCCCCCGTACCCCCGGCACCGGGGGGCCCCGGGGGGCACCGGGGCCTCCTCCCCCCCGCGGGATCGGGGTCCCCCGGGACCCCCCCGGACCCCCCCGGGGACATCTGAGGCGGGGCACGCACAAAAATTCGGGGCGGCTTCGGGGTGACGGCGGATTTGGGGGACACCCAGGGGTGCAGGGGGGCCCGTGGGTGCCCATCACCCCTCCCTGCCATGGGAGGGGCCGGGCACCCTCCTCCCCACCCCCCCGGGGAACCCCCCCGGGACCCTCCGCCCCTCGGGGGACACCCCCGGGACCCTCCCCCTCTCGGGGAACCCCCCCGGGACCCTCCCCCTCTGGGGGAACCCCCCCGGGACCCTCCCCCTCTCGGGGACACCCCCGGGACCCTCCCCCGGGCCAGCCCCGGGCCCCGCGGGGCCGCCTCCGGAGACCCCGCCCGGCGGTGCCGGTCCCGGGACTGCCGGTGAGTCACGGCCGTGACTCAGCCCCGCCAAAACAGCGTCGCCGGGCAACGGCGGGACCGCCGCGGGAACACACCGGGACCCCCCGACCCACACTGGGACCCCCGATCCACAGCAGGGACCCCCGACCCATATTGAGACCCCCTGACCCATATTGGGACCCCCGACCCATACTGAGACCCCCTGACCCATATTGGGACATCACGGCCCACACTGTGCCCCCCCACCCCGGCCCACATCAGGACCCACCGACCCATATATGGACCCCTGACCCACATCGGGACCCACCCACCGACCCACAGCTGTGCCCCCCACCCACCCCCAGCCCCCAGCCCCACTCGCGAGCAGAGGCACGGAGCTCCCCAGGGTCCTTGGATGGGGGACAGGAGCTGGAGGTGGTGGGGGGCGCTGGGGGGGTCTGTGGGGTCCTGGGGGGCTGGGGGGATCTGGGGGGATCCGGGGGGTCTGGGGGAGGGGTCTGGGGGTATCCTGGGGGGCTGGGGGGATCTGGGGGGATCCAACACCCACGGGCCGTGTTTGTCTGTGTCTGTGCTGTGCCAGTGTCACCCGTGTCACTGATGTACCAATGCTGTGCCCTGTTCCACGCCAGTGTCACCCGTGTCACTGCCGTGCCGTGCCGTGCCGTGCAGCCCCACAGCAGTGACACCCGTGCCCGTGCCGTGCCGTGCAACCCCACGGCAGTGACACCCGTGCCCGTGCCGTGCCGTGCCGTGCCGTGCCCGCCCCGCTCCCGCTCCTCCCGGCCGGGCTGACTCAGGCGGGAGGAATGTGCCGGCGGCGCGTGGGCGCTGGTCCGGCTGCTGCCATTGCCTAGAAAGGGCATCGCCGAGCCCTGGGCCACGGGGAGCCCACGGGGAGCCCCAGCGAGCCCACGGGGCCACCACGGCCACCCCGGCACCCAGCGGGACTCCCGGCCGGGCAGCACGGCCGCCGTGCCCACCTGTGCCAAACACACCTGGCACGGCCGCCACGGGCCGTGGGGCTCGCAGGGACCTGAGGTGGCCACCGCGTCCCTGCTGTGGGGCTGTGGGCGTGAACACGCGTGTGCACAGGTGTGCACAGGTGTGCACAGCCGCGTGCGGGCACACGCGTGTGCTGCATGCTGGCACTGCCACGTGCGAGGGCCAGAATTCCGTGTCCCGTGTCCCCCGTGTCCCATGTGTCCCGTGTCCCTCGTGTCCCGTGTCCCCCATGTCCCCCGTGTCCCACATGTCCCCCATGTCCCCTGTGTCCCGTGTCCCGTGTCCCCCATGTCCCGTGTCCCCCATGTCCCATGTCCCCTGTGTCCCATGTCCCCCGTGTCCCGTGTCCCTCGTGTCCCATGTCCCGTGTCCCGTGTCCCGTGTCCCGTGCCACGTCCCCTATGTCCCGTTCCCCGTTCCGTGCCCGTCCCTGGCGGGGCTGGGGGCCCTCGGGGGGCCCTCGGGGGGCCCTCGGGAGGTTGGGGGGGGGTCCCGTGTTTAAAATTAGCAGCTGGCGAAGGTGGGGGAGGAGCTGCTCTGTCCCAGATGTGCAACCGCTGCCAGATGTGGGACGGCACCAGAAGGGCCTGGGGGGCACTGGGGGGCACGGGGGGTGCCCGTTCTGCCGCACTGCGGGAGGGTGTGGGGCAGTCTGTGGGGCGGGGGGCTCGGGTGGGCTGTGGGGCAGGGCTGGGGGCGTGCCCGCCGTGGGGCAGGGCCGCGGGGTGTGGGGCAGGACTGGCGCTGCGGCAGCGGTGACGCGTTGTGGTTTCGCTACTTCCGATATAAAATTCTGTTTAATGTCTGTGTGTGCAGCATCGCCATGGTGACCCCCAGCACCCCCCCGGCCCGGCCCCGCGGCGCCCCACGGCCACGGGGCACCGGGCACGGCTGTGGGGCACACGGGCCCCGTGCCATGGGGCACACGGCCCCTGTGCCATGGGGCACACAGTGCCTGTGCCATGGGGCACCGAACCCCCTTTCTGTGGGGCACTGATCGCCCTCGCCATGGGCCATGTGGGGCACTGGTCCCCCTCCCCATGGGGCACAAAGCCCCCTCGCTGTGGGGCATGAAGCCCTGTCCCCATGGGGCACTGATCTCCCTCCCCATGGGGCACATTTCTCTCCCCATGGGGCACTGATCCCCTCCCCATGGGGCACGAATCCCCTCGCTATGGGGCACACATCCCCTCCCCATGGGGCACATTTCCCCTCCCCATGGGGCACATATCCCCTCCCCATGGGGCACATATCCCCTCCCCATGGGGCACATATCCCCTCCCCATGGGGCACTGATCCCCCTCCCTATGGGGCACGAAGCCCCCGGCCATGGGGCACATTTCCCCCCGCCGTGGGGCACGTGTCTCCCGCCGCCGCCCCTCTTTGCCCGCCGGTGCCGCCGCCGCCGCGGGGCCGTGCGGGGATCCGGTGTGTGTGCGGGGGGGTGCGGGCTCGGGGCGGTCCCGGGGCGGTCCCGGGGCGGGCGGAGGCGATCCCGGTCCCTCCCCCCCCCCTCCCCTCCCTTCCCCGCCGCCGCCGCGGCCTCGTCGCTCCCGGGGCGGAGCGAAACGTTTAAAAGCGTTTCCCTTCTTGGAGTAAAAGTCAGAGACTTGGGGAGCCCCCGGGAGCCCCCGGAGCCCCCCTCCCCCGGGCCGGCCCCCCCGGAGCCCCCCGGAGCCCCCCGGGACCCCCGGCCGCCGCTGCCGGTGAGTAACGGCCCCGCGGGACGCTGGAAGGTTCCGGGGCGGCGGGAGCGGGGCCGCGGCCGTGGCCTCGTGCCCGGCCGGGATGGCGGGAAGGGCCGCGGGGTCCCGCCGGTGCCGCCGCTCCGCTCCGCGCTGCCCGGGGCGGCGGCGGCCCCGCCGCGGCCATCGACGGCCCGAGGGGCGGGCAGGGGGGTGCGGGGGTCCCGGGGGGGCTCCGGGCCCGGCGGCGGGGCGGGGACCGGGCGGGCACCGGGGGGGACCGGGGGGGCGGCGGCGCCGGGCGGTGATTCATCCTTTCCCCCCGGCGCCGACGGGCGCGGACGGGGCGGCCCCTTCCCGCCCCCGCCCCCGCCTGGCCCGAGCGACGCCGGAGCCGCCCCGGCCTGGGAACCCCAAAATCCCGGACACCCCCACCCCCCCCCCGCACCACCGACCCGCCATGGGAACCCCCAGACCCGCAGAGCCCTCCCCCACCCCCCATGAACCCCAAATCTCAGCCCCCCCCCCCCCACCCGGCACCCCAAAGCCGCTCCGCTCCGGGATGTCCGAGTCCCACCTGTGACATCCCCAAATTCCAGACCCCCCCCCCCGGTCTGGGACCCCCAAAACCCCACAGACCCCCCCCCACCCCCCTCCGGGCCTGGAACCCCCCAAACCCACCCGGTGTCGCCTCTCCCCTCCGCTGTTGGACCCCCCCAGTCCTGCGGACCCACCGGAGCCCCCCGACCCGTCGCGCCCCAGCCCTGGGACCCCCCAAACCCACGGCAGCCCCCCCGGCCTCATCCCTTCGGCCTTGGGACCCCCAACACGCAGAGCCCCCCGCCCCCACCGTGCACCCCTCAGCCCCCCAAGCCACATCGGGCCCCCAACCCGCCCACCCACATCAGCCCCCCAACCCACGGCCCCCCAAAACCCTCCGCCCCCCACCCCAGCCCCGTTCCCGCATTCCGCAGGCGTCGGGCGGCGCCGCTGCCTTTTCCCACTCCCGTTTTGGGGACGAAGGTGGGAATTTTGGCACCGGGCTCCCCCGCCCCCCCCGCCGGGGCCGCCCCCGCCCGGGGCCGCGGGAGCCGGTCGGGGCGGCCGGGCCGGCACCGCCCTGGCGCCGGGGGGGCACCGGGAGGGGCCCCCAAAACCAGGGGGGGCCCCCCAAAAAACCGGGGGAGACACTCCAGAACCCGGGGGGGGGGGGCCGCAAATCCGAGCCCCCCACCCCCCAAACGGAGGTCACCCCCCGCCCCACACTTGGGGGGCAGCGGGCCGTGCCCACGGTGCCAGCGGGGCTGGCGGCACCGGGGCCGTGTCTGTCACAGCTGCCGTGACCCCCGGGCGGGGACCCTTGGCCTGGGCACCCCCGGGCCCCCCGCGACCCCCGAGCCCTCCCGGAGCCCTCCCGGAGCCCTCCCGGAGCCCTCCCGGCCTCGTGTCGGTGCCGCCGCCTCCGGTACCGGGGACGGCTGAGCCCCGCTGGCACCGGGCGGGGGCCGCCACTGTCGCGACTGTCGCGACTCCCCCGGGACCGGGGCGCCCCTCAAACCCTCCCCGAGTCCCCCCGGGGCCCCGGGCCCCGTGTCGGTGCCGCCGCCGCTGTTTACCCCCATTTTTTGGGCCGGTTCCACCCGATTCCCTTTGAAGTCGCCCCGTTGTCGTGACGACGCTGATGTCACGACCGGGCGGGGCCTCGTGGGTCCCACATGGCGCCTGCAGAGCCCCGCGGACACCGGGGACACCGGCGCGGCCACCGGCCCCGGAGCCGCCGTGGCCACCGGGAACGGGCCGGGGCCAGCGCGGGGGTCCCGACACGGGGCACGGCGACACCGGTGGCACCGCGGGTCCCGGTTCTGGGGACAGCCGGGGGGTCCTGGAGAGCCCACCCCGCCCTGGGGACAGCGAGGGGACACTGGGGACGTGGCACGGCCGGGGACGCGTTTCACAGCCCGGACCGGTGACGGTGCTGGGAGTGGGGACAGCCACCGGCGCCGTGTCCCCAACCCTGTCCCGGCACCAATGTCCCCAACCCTGTCCCAGCTCCGTGTCCCAGTCCTGTCCCAGTGCCACCGTCCATCCTTTGTCCCCACAGTGTCCCCATCCCATGTCCACACGGACTCCCCTACCCTGGGACCCCCTGTATCCCCCCAAAACACCTGCAACCTTCCCTGGATCCCCCCAAAACAACCGGGAGCTCCCCAAAAACACCTGGAGACCCCCCTGGATCCCCCCAAAACACCTGGAACGCCCCCTGGATTCCCCCAAAACCACCGGGAGCCCCCCAAAAACACCTGGAGACCCCCCTGGATCCCCCCAAAATGCCTGGATACCCCCCTGGATCCCCCCAAAATGCCTGAATACCCCCCAAAACACCTGGAGCTCCCCAAAAACACCTGGAATACCACCCTGGACTCCCCAGAACCCACCTGGAGACCCCCCAGGGGTGCTCCTGCAGGGTGACCCCCTCCCACCGACCTCTCCCCACTCCCACAGGTGGCACCGGGCTCCAGCCTCGACACTGAGACGGCGCCGTGGGAGCACCGGGACCGGCACCGGGGTGTCCGACCCCCCCACCGGGGTGTCCGACCCCCCCACCGGGGTGTCCGACCCCCCACCCCCGCCGCTGCCGCCCGCCGGGGTTCCTGGCGATGGGATTTTTTACCGTTTTTGCCCAAAATCACATTGCCAGGGATTTCCAACGGGCCCCAGCCCCCACCACCGCGCCAGGGGAGGAGGTTCAGGGGGTCCTGGAGACTGTGGGGGGGTGGGGGTGGTTTTGGGGTGCTGGGGGTGTTTTGGGGGCTGGGGGGGCAGGGCTTAGCCCACCTGTGAACAGAGTCCAGCCGCGCCGTGTTCACAGTGGCTAAGTTCCGCCTCCCGCCCCCCTCGCCCGCACCGAGGGGCTCCCCCAAACTTTGGGGCTTTCCCGATCCTTAGAAAATACCCGAATCCCCCCAGAACCCCCCTACGGCATGCTGGACCCCCACGGGGACCCCGGGACCGCCCCCCCAGCCCCTGGGGCACCCCCAGGACCCCCGGACACCCCCGGGCGCCGCCCCCGGTGCCCGCTGAGCTGATTTGCAGTTGCTTTGGATAAACTGGCTCAGTTCAGCAGGAACAGGGGTCGGGCCCCCGCACCCCGAGACCCCCACGGGGGTCCCCAATTCCCGCTGAGCCCTCCAACAACCCCCCCCCACCTCCGCTCCCGCGTGTCCCTCACTCCCCCCGAGCTCACCGGGACCCTAAAAGCCCCGAGGGAGTACCCAGAAATTGGGGGTGGGATGGGGGGAACCACGGCGGGGGGAGTCGTGGGGGTTTTTGGGGTGCGGGGGGGGCTGTGGGATTTTTGGGGGGGCTGTGGGGGGGGGTGTTGGGATTTTTGTGGGGGCTGTGGGGCGTTCCCCGTTCCCAGCCGTTCTCCCCCCGGTCCCGGGCGAGCCCCGGCGGCTCCGGGTGAGTCACGGGAGGGCTCGGGGGGGTCCGGGGGGGCCCCGCCCCACGCGGGGCCCCGGGGGGAGGCTCCGGCCGCCAGCCCCTCCCCCACCCTTCCCTGTTTGTTTCCCAAAATAAACGCGGCGGCGCCGATTCCAGGGAATTTCCCTGACGTCATTGGGGCGGGGCTCGCTCCGGCCACGCCCCTCCGGCCACACCCATGGAGAGGGGCGGGGCCCCGCGCGCTCATGTCCCGCCCAAAGGGGGCGTGGCGCATTTCAGCGTTGACCACGCCCCCGCCGCGCTCCCATTGGCTGCCGTGGCTCCTTCGGCTGTCAATCAGCGCGGGACGGGGCAGGCTGCCAGTCAAACTAGAGCTGACCAATCAGCGTGGGGAGGGGCGGGGCTTCATGTTCCATTCATAAATTGTGGCGGGGCGGGAAACGGGGAAGGGCCGAGACCCCCCCCAAAGCCCCGGGAGCGCACCGGGACCCCCCGAGATCCCCCCCAAAGCCCCGGGAGCGCACCGAGACCCCCCGAGACCCCCCCCAAAGCCCCGGGAGCGCACCGAGAGCCCCCGAGATCCCCCCCAAAGCCCCGGGAACGCACCGAGACCCCCCGAGATCCCCCCCAAAGCCCCGGGAAAGCACCGAGACCCCCCGAGATCCCCCCCAAAGCCCCGGGAACGCACCGAGATCCCCCCCAAAGCCCCGGGAACGCATCGGGACCCTCCGAGAACGCCCTAAAAGACACCGAGACCCCCCCCGGGACCCCCGAGAAAGCACCGAGATCCCTCTGAGAGTACCCCCAGACCCACCGGGACCCCCGAGAAAGCACCGGGACCCCTCTGAGAGCGCCCCTAGACCCACCGGGAACCCTCTGAGAACACCCCCAGACCCACCGGGACCTCTGAGAACACCCCCAGACCCACCGGGACCCCTGAGATCCCCCCGAGAAAGCACCGGGCCCCCTCTGAGAGCGCCCCATGACCCATCGAGACCCCCGAGAAAGCACCGGGACCCCCGAGACCTTCCCCAGGAGTCTCTCAAGGCCCCACAGAATCCCCGGGACCCCCTGAAGACACCGGGCCCCCCCCAATGCTTCCCCTTGGGGGACAGCGCGACCTCCTCGGGCACCCAGAGACCCTCGAGACCCGCGGGGACCCTTTACCCACCCCCAGAGACACGGACGCCGTCCCCCAAAAGCCTTTCCGGGGGTACCAGGACCCCCCACAACCTTGGGGCTTCCCCGATGTCCCCCCCCTCCCTGCAGTAGCCCCCCAAAAGCCCCCTGCGACCCCCACAAACCAGACAGCGGCTCCGCGGTGTGAGAAGCACAGAAATAACGTTTATTAAAGCGCAGCGCGGCTGCCCCGGAGCCGCTCGGGGGGCTCGGGGGGCGCTCCCGGCCCGGGGGGCTCAGCCGCGGCCCTTCTTGGCCCCGTCCTTGGCGGGGCCGGGGGCCCTGACCAGGCTCAGCTTCTTGGGGAGCGCGCCCTGCGCTCGCTGCACCGCCTCCCGCTCGATCCGCAGGCGGATCCCGACCTCCAGCCGCTGCCGGGGAACCGGGGGCGGTCAGGGGGCCGCAGGAGAGACCCCCGGGCCGCCCCCGAGCTGCCCCCGCCCCGCTCACCTTCTTCAGCCGCTGCTGCTGCACCACGCGGAGCTTCTTCGGGGCGATGCTGCGGCCTGCGGGGAGCGGGGCGGGTGAGACCGCGGCCTGGCAGCGCCCGGTTCCACCGGGAGGGCACCGAACACCCCCGGGACTTCCACGGGACCCCCCCCCCCCCCGAACCGGAGCTTCCCTTGCACCCCCCGTTCCTGAGCCCGCCTCGGAGAGCCCCCCGGGCCCGCCGGAGCCCCGTTCCCCGGCCCTGGGAGCCACCGCACCTCCCTTCCGCGGGCCTCGAGCGCCCCGGGCCGCCGCCGCCGCCGCCTTGGCCGCCTTGGGCCGCTTGGCCGCTGCCTTGGGCCGGCCCTGCGCCATGGCGGCAACGGGGACCGCCCGGAAACGGCGGGAGCCTCGCCCCGGTATATCCCGGCAGCCTTTGCGGCGGCAGCGCACCGGTATATCCCGGCAGCCTTTGCGGCAAATGCCCCGGTATATCCCGGCAGCCTTTGCGGCAAATGCCCCGGTATATCCCGGCAGCCTTTGCGGCAATACCGCCCCGGTATATCCCGGCAGCCTTTGCGGCAAATGCCCCGGTGTATCCCGGGATCCAGAAGTCTTTGCGGCCACAGCGAGGCCCCAAAAACCCCGCGGGGAAGAACGGGGATACGAAGCCCCCGCCCGTTTTCCTCTTGGTGCCCTCCGGTGCTCCTCCAGTGTCCCCCAAAGTCCCCCAACCCCCAGAATCTCCCGGGGACGCCCGACGGTGCCTCGGTGTATCCCGACACCCTCTGCGGCAGCAAAGGCTGCCGGGATATACCGAGGCGGTACTGCCGCAAAGGCTGCCGGGATTTACCGGGACTTTATTGCCGCAAAGGCTCCCGGGACACACCGGGGCACAGCGCGGAGCACGCCGGTATTTACCGGGCCATGGCGCGGAGCACACCGGGACACACCGGGGCACGGCTGCCCCGACGGCGGCCGGGACGCACCGGGCCGGAGCCGTCAGCGCTCCCCGCGCTCCGCCAGCTGCCCGCACACGTCGGAGGCGGCGAAGAGCCCCCGCTCGGTGATGATGCCCCCCGTGATGAGCTCGTGTGGCGTCACGTCGAAGGCCGGGTTCCACACGTCGACCCCTGCGGAATTCGGGGAGGGGGAGAAGGGGTACACGGGGTCAGGTCCATCACGGAGCCCCAACCCCGACACACCGGCCCCGAGGGACCCGCGCGTGGCACCCACCGGGCTCCGCCAGGAGCACGCCCCCGAGCTGGGTGAGCTCCGTGCCCGGCCGCTCCTCGATGGGGATCAGGTCTCCCGAGGCCAGCGAGGGGTCGCAGGTGCTGCTCGGGGCGGCCACGTAGAAGGGGATCCGCAGGTGCCGCGCGGCCACCGCCAGCTGGAACGTGCCGATCTTGTTGGCCACGTCGCCGTTGGCCGCCACGCGGTCGGCGCCCACCACCACGGCTGGGGACAGAGGAGGGGCGGGGCTGTCCTGTGTCACCTGTCCCCATCACAGCCGCTCCGTGTGCCCCGTGTCACCGTCCCCACCCGGTGTTCCCGGCCTCACCGTGCACCCCGTGCAGCCTCATGGCGGCAGCGGCGGCGCTGTCGGCGATGAGGGTGACGGGGACGCCGTCGTGGCGCAGCTCCAGCGCCGACAGCCGCGAGCCCTGGTTGTAGGGCCGGGTCTCGGTGCACAGCACCCGGGACAGGGCCCCGCGCTCGTGCAGGGCCCGCACCACGCCTGCGGACACGGGGACACCTCAGGGACCCGCCACAGCGAGACCCCGAAAGCCCCGGGGGGAAAATGGGGGCAGGGAGCCCCCCCCGAACCCCTCGGTGCCCCCCGGTGCTCCTCCAGTGTCCCCCAAAGTCCCCCAGAATCTCCCGGGACCCTCCCACGGTGCTCCCCAGTGCCCCCCCAGTGCCTACCAATGCCCCCCAGTTCCCCCAGTGCCCCCCCAGTGCCCACCAGTGCCCCCCCAGTGCCCTCCCAGTTCCCCCAGTGCCCTCCCAGTTCCCCCAGTGCCCCCCTTTGACCCCCCGGTGCCCCGTACCCAGCGCGGTGCCGTAGCCTGCCGTGGCCAGGGTCCCGGTGTTGCAGTGGGTCAGGAGGGTGACGGGGCCCCCCCCGGGGAGCCCCCCCAGGATGGCGTCGGCCCCGTGGGCCCCGATGCTCCGGTTGTCCCTACGGTCCTTCTCCAGCAGCCCCTCGATGTACTCGATGATGCTGGGCAGGAGGAGACGGGGTGGCACCCCAGATCCTGATCCCAAATCCTGACCCACCCTAAACCCACCCCAAATCCTGACCCCCAAACCACCCTAAACCCACCCCAAATCCTGATCCCAAATCCTGACCCCAAACCCACCCTAAATCCACCCCAAATCTTGACCCCAAACCCACCCTAAATCCACCCCAAATCCTCACCCCAAACCCACCTTAAACCCATCCCAAATCCTGACCCCAAACCCACCCCAATCTCACCCCAAATCCTGACCCCAAACGCACCTTAAACCCCCCCCAAATCCTGACCCCAAACCCCCCCCAAATCCTGACCCCAATCCCACCCCAAAGCGACCCCAGGACCCCAAACCCCCCCAGGACCCCAAATCCCCCCCAGGATCCCCAAACTGCCCCCAGGAACCCCCCGAGACCCCAAATTCCCCCCAGACCCCCAAACTGCCCCCAGGAACCCCCCGAGCCCCCTCCCAGCGCCGTTCCCCACTCCCGGAGCGCCCCGGCCCCGCAGCCCCTCACCTCTCCCGCAGCTCCTGTGGGGTGACCCCGGGGGTCTCGGCCCTGCGGCGGACCCAGCCCCGCAGCCGCTCGGCCTCCCGGCCCAGGTTGGCGGCCGTGGGGCGCGCGCTGAGCAGGAACCCCAATTTCTGCCCCACAAACTCCTCCAGCGCCCCCAAATCCTCCTGGGGTCCCGCGCCCCCCGCCAGCTCCACCGCCAGGCTGAGGCAGCCCAGGAGGGCGATGGCCGGAGCCCCCCGCACCTGGGGGGGCACAGCGACCCTGAGACCCCCGGGAGGGGCTGGGGGGACCCCAAAACCCTGGGGGGTCCCCAAAACCCTGGGGAGGGGCACAGGGCAGCCCTGAGACGCCCCTGAGAGGATTTGGGAGGGGGGCTCGTGTCAGGATTGGGGTGGGGGGCTCAGGGGGTATTTGGGGGGTTCAGGGGGGCTCAGGGGGTATTTAGGGGGTTCAGGACCGGAGGGGGGGCCTCTCAGGGGTATTTGGGGGGCTCGGGGGGGCTCAGGGGTATTTGGGGGGTTCAGGGGGTATTTGGGGGACTCAGGACCGGAGGGGGGGGCGCTCAGGGGTATTTGGGGGTTCAGGGGGGCTCAGGGGTATGGGGGGGGATATCGGGGGGGCTCAGGGGTATCGGGGGGGCTCAGGGGTATTTGGGGGATATCGCGGGGGGCTCAGGGGTATCGGGGGGGGTCTCCCCTCACCTCCATGTCGCGGATGGCCGCCCAGGCCCGCTGCACGCCCCCCACCCGCTCGTAGCGGAGCTGCCCCGGTAACAGCCGCTGGTTCAGAACCTCCAGAGACCCGCGGCGGTACCGCAGCGACTCGAGCGCCATCGCGACAGAACCGCGCGACAGAACCGCGCGACAGGCCCCGCCCACCCGGGGCACGCCCCCTGCCACGCCCACCCAAACCCCGCCCACCCCAGCCCCGCCCCGGCGGGAGCGACGCGCGGACACCGCGGGGACCCAGCGGCGCTTTTTAATTCTTTTTAATTCTTTTTAATTTTGGGGGTGCAAATTACAGTGGGGGGGGTCTCGGGTGGGAGGGGGGGGTAAAAGGTGCTCGGGACCCCCCCCAGGATCAGCCCCCCCCGGTTTTGGGGGGTCCCGACCCCCCCAAACCCCGCTCAGGGGCTCTCGGAACCGGAGTCCGAATAGTCGGCGACCAGGGACGGGGCGGGGGCGGCGGCACCGGGGGTGTCCCGGGGGGCGGCACCGGGCGGGTCCCGGGGGGCGGCACCGGGGGGGTCCCGGGGCGCGGCACCGGGGGGGTCCCGGGCGGCAGCACCGGGGGTGTCCCGGGGAGCCCCCCCAGCCTGGGGAGCGGCACCGGGCGGGTCCCAGGCAGCGGTACCGGGGGGGTCCCGGGGGGCGGCACCGGGCGGATCCCGGTGAGCGGCACCGGGGGGGTCCCGGGGGATGGTACCGGGCGGGTCCCGGTGAGCGGCACCGGGGGTGTCCCGGAGGGCGGCGGCACCGGGGGTGTCCCGGGGAGCCCCCTCAGACTGGGGGGCGGCAGCGGGCTGGTCCTGGGGGGCAGCACCGGGCGGCTCCGCTCCGCTTTCGGGGGTCTCCCGCGGTACCAGCTGCGCCCCCTCCTCCGCCGCCTTCCTCCGCACGATGCCGAGCCCGGCGGGGGTCGGGGGCGGCCCCAGGGGTGCCCTCGGTGGCCGTGGCGACCCCAGCCCCAATTTCTGGAGCGCCCCCCCGGCCGTTCGGGGACCGAACCAGGAGCGCTGGGAGATCTCGGAGCGCTTCAGCCGCTGCTTCTCCTCGTAGGCTGCGGGGGGACAGAACCGGGAGGGGTCAGGGGGGCTCGGGGACCCCCAAAACCCGTCCCGGGACCCCTCCCCACGCACAATCGGGGGCGCGGAGGGTGAGCAGGGCGGCGAGGCGCCGATCCTCCTCTTCCTCGCGGAGCAGAGGGATGCTGAGTCCGGCCTTCGCCTGCAGCGCCGCCGCCTCCTCTTCCTCCTCCTTCAGCGTCTTCTTCTCCTCCTGGGGGGCGAAATGGGGCTGGGGGCGAGGGGCCGAGACCCCCGGGGGGAGCCCGAGACTCCCGGCAGGGCGGGAAGCGCTCGCTGGGCTTTTTTTGGGCTTTTTTGGGGTCTTCTGGAGTGCCCAAGGGGGATTGCAGGAGCGTTTTTAGGGGATTTTAGGGTAGTTTTTTTAGAGTATTTAGGGGAGGTTTTTAGGGGATTTAGGGATTTTTTTGGGGGGATTTCTCGGGGGGTTAGGGGATTTAGGAGGTGATTTATGCAGTTTAGGGGGCTTTTATGGGAGGTTTTAAGGGGTATTTTAGGCAATTTCGAAGAGGGGTTTTAGGGGATTTTGGGGGGATTTTTAGGGGATTTATGGGCTGTTTTAAGCAATTAAAGGGGGGATTTAGGGGAGGTTTTAGAGGGATTTCAGGGCGAGGGTTAGGAGGATTTAGGGGCTGTTTTAGGGGATTTCAGGAAAGGGGTTTTAGTGGTGTTTTTTAGGGGATTTCAGGGGGGGATTTTTAGGGGATTTCAGGGGCTGTTTTAGGTGATTTAAGGGGGGATTTCAGGAAAGGTTTTTAGGGGATTTAGGGGCTGTTTTAGGGCGATTCCAGGGGGGATTTTTAGGGGATTCAGGGGCTGTTTTAGGCAATTTAAGGAGTGATTTTGGGAAGGGTTTTTAGGGGATTCAGGGGCTGTTTTAGAGGGATTTCAGGGGGGATTTTGGGGCTGTTTTAGGCGATTTAAGGGGGGATTTCGGGAAGGGTTTTTAGGGGATTTTGGGGCTGTTTTAGGTGATTTAAGGGAGGATTTCGGGAAGGGTTTTTAGGGAATTTAGGGGCTGTTTTAGGGGGATTCCGGGAGGATTTTTAGGGGGTTTAGGGGCTGTTTTAGGGGATTCCAGGGGGGATTTTTAGGGGGTTCAGGGGCTGTTTCAGGGGACTCTGGGGCCCCGCAGCCCCCACTGACCCGGAAGCGCCGGCGCAGGCGGCTGTTGAGGCCGAAGTCGTCCTTCCAGGCGTCCTGCGCCTGCTGCAGCCGCGCCAGCGTGGGGGCGGCGCGCTCCAGCACCCCCCGGTCCGACACGCCGTGCTCCAGGCGGAACATCGCGTCCACCGCCAGGCGCTCCCGCTGCTCCGGGGCTGCGGCGGGACACCGGGGAGACAGGGGGGACTGGGGGGACTGGGGGGACTGGGGGGAATGGGAGGACTGGGGAGACTGGGGGGGACTGGGGGGACTGGGGGGCACTGGGGGGGAATGGGGGGACTGGGAGGGACTGGGGGGAATGGGGGGAATGGGAGGGATGGGGGGGACTGGGGGGAACTGGGAGGGACTGGGACATACTGGGAGGGACTGGGATCACCGTGACCGTGACCCTGACCCTGGTGGGGGTCCCTGGGCCATACTGGGCCATACTGGGACTCACTGGTGGGCAGCACCTGGCCGCTGTCCCCTTGTCCTCATACCAGGAATGGGACACTGGGAGCCACTGGGACATACTGGGAGGGACTGGGATCACCGTGACCGTGACCCTGGCCCTGGTGGGGGTCCCTGGGCCCTACTGGGCCATACTGGGACTCACTGGTGGGCAGCACCTGGCCGCTGTCCTCGGGCTCCCAGCGCTCCTCCTTGCGCCGGGCGCCGCTGACGATGACATAGTCGCAGTTCCCAGGATCCGTCTGCAGCTCGATGTAGTTGACGCACAGGTGACACTTCATCCTGAACCTGGGGGGGCCAACGGCTCAGGGGGGTCCCCAAAACGTCCCCAGGTCCCCATAGGCGAGGGAGGCGCCGGGACTCACCTGTACACGGGCGTGGTGTAGTAGCTCCCCACCTTCTTCTTCTCAGCATTGTACCTGACGCCTGTGGGGGCGTGGGGAGGTAAAACCGTCCCCACCACAGATTTGGGGATCCCAAAAAAAAATTCAAAATCACCCCAAAACCAACCCAAACCCACTGAGAGATTGATGGGATGGAAAATCCCAAAACAGGAACCCAAAAACCCTGAAACTACCCTAAAACCAACCCCAAATCCATTGGCAAACCAATAGGATGGAAAATCCCAAAACTGGATCCCAAAAAAAACCCCAAAATCACCCCAAAACCAATCCCAAATACACAGAGACATCAATGGGAACGAAAATGCCAAAACTGGACCCCCAAAACCCCTTTGGGACCCCCCAAGAAGGGTTTGGGGGGGGTGGGACTCACCCATCCCGATGTGGTTCTGGCAGCCGTCACACCAGATGTTGAAGGGCATCTCGAACCTGGGGGGGTTTGGGGGGTCAGGGGGGCTTGGGGGGCACAAAGGGACATTTCTGGGGTGTCCCCAGGACATTTTGGGGGGTCCTCACCTGATGACAAGGATGCCCTGGGAGAGCTTGCGGGCGCGCTCGCGCAGGGGGTGGCTGTGGTGGTATTTGTTGAGGGAACCATGCTGGGGGGCAGGGGGAGAAACGGGGGGTCAGGGATGGGGGTGGGACCCCAAAATGCACACACACACAGCTGGCACCCCAAAAATCCCGGAGCTTCATTTCCAGCCCCCCCAAAAATCCCAGAGCTTCATTTCCAGCCCCCCCAAAAATCCCGGAGCTTCATTTCCAGCCCCCCCAAAAATCCCACAACTCCATTTCTGGCCCCTCAAAATCCACACACACACACCCAGCACCCCCAAAATCCAGTTCTGGCCCCCCAAAATACAAACACACACACACACGCACAAAGCCCCCCTAAAATTCACAAAATCCAGTTCTGCCTCCCCCCAAAATCCACACAGAGGCTCGTGGCCCCCCCAGAATTCCATTTTCAGCCCCCCAAAGCCCCTCAAACACACCCAAACCCCCCTGAAGCCCCCCGAAAGCTTCCCAGAAGCTCCCCAAGCCCCCCAGCCCACCTTGGCAGGGTCGAAGTCGGGCGGGTAGTACTTGTTGGTGCCTTTGCGCTCGCCCTGGGGAGAGACATTGGAGGGTGACCTTGGGGACCCCTCTGTGACCTCATTGTGACCCCTCTGTGACCTCATTGTGACCCCTCTGTGACCCCACAGTGACCTTGGAGTAGCCCTGCTATGACCCCTCTGTGACCCCTCATTGTGACCCCACAGTGTGACCTCAGTGTGACTCTCATGTGACCCCACAGTGTGACCCCTCTGTGACCCCTCTATGACCCGGTGTGACCCCTCTGTGACCCGGTGTGACCTCCCGGTGGCTCCGCCCCCACTCACCATGGCCGAGGGTCTCTGGAGGTCACTGAGGAGCCCCCGGGCGCAACTGGGAGGAGTGAACGGTCACTGGTCTGTACTGGGATGGGGTCAGCGGTCACTGGTCTGTACTGGGATGGGGGCAGCGGTCACTGGTCTGTACTGGGAGAGGTCCCCGCGCAGTTTGGAGTCTCCGGGCTGTCTCCGGGCTGTCACCGCGCTGGTACCGAGCTGTACAGGGCTGTTACCGGTCCTTACCGAGCTGTTACCGGTCCTTACGGGGCTCTCCCGGGGACCCCCCGGCCCCACCGACCTGTTCCGGCTGCGCTCCTCAGGCTCCGCCCCTTCCGCCCATCACCGCGAGCTGATTGGCCCAGACACGGCGAGGGGGCGGAGCCCTTCCCGGCGGCCCCGCCCCTCCGGAGGCGTTCGCGACCCCTGGCGGCGCCGCAGCGCGGTGACTTACGGCAGCCCATAGCAACGGGAGCTCCATAGCAACGGGGGTCCGCAGCGACGTGTTTCCATAGCAACGGGGCACATTGCGGCGTGGACTCCATGGCAACGGGGTCCCTAGCAACGGGGACCATGGCAACGGGGACCGTAGTAACGGGGTCCATAGCAACGGGGTCCATGGCAACGCCATTCAGAGCGTCCGTCTCCATAGCAACGGGCCCCAAACCGACGGGGGGCTCATGGCAACGGGGTCCATAGCAACGGGATTCCATAGCAACGGGGTCCATAGCAACGGGATTCCATAGCAACCGACTGCTGCCCTAACCCGCACCCCCCCCCCCCCCACCCCACGGCTCCACATCATCATCCCTGTCCCCATGGGGGTGGCAGTGTCCCCATCCCTGTCCCCATCCCTGTCCCCATCCCTGTCCCCATCCCTGTCCCCGTGTCCCCATGGGGGTGGCAGTGTCCCCATCCTTGTCCCCATCCCTGTCCCCATGGGGGTGGCAGTGTCCCCATCCCTGTCCCCATCCCTGTCCCCATCCCTGTCCCCGTGTCCCCATGGGGGTGGCAGTGTCCCCATCCTTGTCCCCATCCCTGTCCCCATGGGGGTGGCAGTGTCCCCATCCCTGTCCCCATCATTGTCCCTATCCCTGTCCCCATCCCTGTCCCCCTCATCCTCTGTCCCCAAAGACTGGCAGACCCCCGTATCCCCTTCCATGTCCCCTCCGTGTCCCCGTGTCCAGGCTGTGCCCGTGTGCCCAGGTGTCCTGCAGGGTGGCAGCCGGATGTGGCCGTGGGGACACGGCGGTGGCACTGGGGACACGGCGGTGGCACTGGGGACACGGCGGTGGCACAGGGGACACGGCAGTGTCACTGGGGACACGGCGGTGGCATTGGGGACACGGCGGTGGCACTGGGGATACGGCGGTGGCGTTGGGGATACGGCGGTGGCACTGGTGACAGCGCAGTGGCTCATTAGCGCGTCCCCGCGAGGAGGCGGTGGCCACCTGCAGGGGCTGATCAGAGGCCACCCTGGTGGCCACCGTGGTGGCACCTGCCAGGGCTGCGGGGATGGTGGCAGGGGTGGGGACACCGGGTGATGGGGACAGGGGTGGGGACACTGCCACCCCCGTGGGGACACGGGGACAGGGATGGAGAGACAGGGTGATGGGGACAGTGCGACCCCCATGGGGACAGGGATGGGGACACTGCCACCCCCATGGGGACAAGGATGGGGACACTGCCACCCCCATGGGGACACCAGCACCGCCCGGCTGGGAGAAAGGGCTGAGCCCGGAATTTGGGGACCCGGAGGTGCGTGGGGACACCTGTGACAGCCGGGGTGACACGGGCTGTGCCCAGGTGTGTGCCATGCCCAGGTGCGGTGCCATTGCCCGTTTCCATGTCCCCATCTGGGAACAGCCCCTATTTGGGGTCCCCCCGGTCCCGGGGGGGGGCCCTGGCGGAGCTCCGTGTCCCCCCCGCCCCCGCACCCCCCCGGCCGCGTGTCTCGGGGTCCCGGTGGCCCCGGGGGTGGCACCGGCCGCGCCACGTGCGGCGGCTGCGGGGACAAAAGCGACGCTGGGGACAAAAGGCCGTGACGTCAGCGGGGGCTGGGGGGCACCGCTGACCCAGTTCGGCCTTTTTTGGGGGGTCAGGGGGTGGGGGGGGAGGGACACAGCGGGGAGGGGGGGAGGGGACAGGGCCACTGTCCCCAATGGGCGGGGGGGGTGGCAGCGGGGTGACGGCGGTGGGGAAACTGAGGCAGCGGTGGGGTAATTAAAGAGCGGTAAGTAATTAAGGGGTCGTTAAAGGGAGGGGAGAGGAAGAGGGGGAAGTCCCGGACATTGGGGAGGAGGGGGGTCAGGAGGAGGAAGAGGAGAGAGAAGAGGAAGGTCCGGAGCACTCTGGGGGGGTGAGGGGGCAGGAGGAGGAGGAGGAAACAGAGGAGGAGGAGGAGGAGGAGGAGGAGGAGGAGGAGGAGGAGGAGGAGGAGGAGGAGGAGGAGGAGGAAGGTCCCGGGTATCGGAGGGGTGGGGGGGGAAGGGAGAGGGGAGGAGGAGGAGGAGCAGCAGCAGCAGCAGCAGCGCGACCTCTGCCGCAGCCCGGCCCGATGGGCCCCGCCGCCCCGCTGCTGCCGGGGGGCTGAGGCGACCCCCGCCCGGCCCCGCAGCCCCCGGGGGGGGGCACCACCTTCCCCCCAAAGCCGCCGCCTCCGCCTTTTTTTTTTTTAAATTTTTTTAAAGAATTTTTTTTCCCCTATCCTTTGGATTTTGTCGCCGTTTTGGGGGATTTTAGAGGAGGGGGATTTTTTTAATCTTTTTCTCCCCACCAACCTGTCACTGATGCTGCGGGCCGGGGGCGCCGGGATGCGCTGAGAGACAGACCCCCGGGATTTTCCGCTCCTCTTCCTCTCCTCTCCCCCCCCCACCGCCCCAAATTACCGCAACCCCCTCCCGGGGGGGGGCAACGCGAACCGCAGCGCCGGGACCCCCGCCCGGGGCACCGCGAACCGCGCCGAAGGGACGCCCCCCACACCGGGGCACCGGGAACCGCAGCGAGGGGCTCGGGACCCCCCCCCGCCGCCCGCCGGAACCGGGACACCGCGAGCAGCAGCGCCAGGACCCCCGCAACCCCCTCCGGGGCACCGGGACCCCCCGCGCCGGGACCGCAGCGTCGGAGACCCCCTTTACACCGCACCGGTTTGCGGGGGGGGCACCGCAAGAGAGGAGCCCCCCGCATCCTCCGGGGTACCGCAGCGGAGGGACCCCCCCGGTACTCACTCCGGGGCACCGCGAGCCGCAGCTGAGAGACCCCCGCATCCCGCGGACCCCCCCGTTCTACCGGGGGTGTCTCCCCCCCCCCCGCCGCACCGGCTCGCGGGGGGGGCGCGCCGCAAGCGGAGGATGCTCGGGATACCGGCGCCGCTGCCGCCGTCCGCCGCTTCCTGAGCGCCTCGCGCCCGGTCGGGACCGGAGCCCGACCCCCCCCGAGGTTTATTTTTGGGGGGGGGGCCCATGGGATGTGATGAGCTCCTCGGCGGTGGCGGCCTCAGCAGCGTGACCCCCCCCGCCCGGCGGCATGGCTCGTTTCGGAGAGGAGGCGGCGGCCCGGTACGGGCCCGGCGGCGGCGGGAGCGGCCCCGGGGCGGCGGCGGGGGCCCGGGGAGCGGCGGGGGGGGCCCGCGGCAGGGCCCCCCCGGGGCGCAGCGCCTCTACAAGCAGTCCATGGCCCAGCGCGCCCGCACCATGGCCCTGTACAACCCCATCCCGGTGCGGCAGAACTGCCTCACCGTCAACCGCTCGCTCTTCCTCTTCAGCGAGGACAACGTGGTGAGGAAATACGCCAAAAAGATCACCGAATGGCCATATCCTTTCTTTGGGGGGGCCCCCCGGCGACCCTGCACCGGACACCCCTATCCCCACCTCCCCCCGGCATGAGGGGACCCGGCTCTGGCACCCCATGGCCCCTCCCCATGATGGGAAGGTGGGACTGGCACAAGGACCCCGAGCCCAGCCCACAGCCCTGACCCCCGGCCCCATTTGGGGGTCACCCTGTCCTGCACTGGGACCCCCAGCCCCATTTTGGGGTCATCCTGTCCTGCGTTGGGACCCCCAACCCCATTTTGGGGTCACCCTGTCCTGCACTGGGACCCCCAGCCCCATTTTGGGGTCACCCTGTCCTGCACTGGGACCCCCAGCCCCATTTTGGGGTCATCCTGTCCTGCGTTGGGACCCCCAACCCCATTTTGGGGTCACCCTGTCCTGCACTGGGACCCCCAGCCCCATTTTGGGGTCACCCTGTCCTGCACTGGGACCCCCAGCCCCATTTTGGGGTCCCCTGACCTGCAGGAGGGTCCCCCACGCCCTGACCTCCATCGAGGACCCCGTTTTCCTGCCCGGGGTTGGGGTCCCCATTCCGGTCGTGCGTCACCTCCGCGTGCCCATATTGGGGTCACCATCCCTGTACTGGGTCACCGTGTCCTGCACTGGGGTCCCGTGCCCCACATCGGGGTCCCCGGCCCCACATCGGGGTCCCGTGCCCCACATCGGGGTCCCGTGCCCCATTTTCAGGGTCCCCATTCCCTGCCCTGCACGGGGGACCCCATTTCTCTCCCCGTGACCCTGCTGCCCCCCCAGTCCCAGACCCTGTTTTTGGGTATTGGAGCTGGCATCCCTCCCTTCCCTCACCCCACACCCCTCCTGTCCCCCCATTTCCATCCTGTGGGGTCCCCACAGAGACTTGGGGTGTCCCCACATCCATCCCCCCCCGCCCAGCTGGGGTGTCTGGGGTATTTTGGGGCTATTTGGGGCTATTTGGGGCTGTTTGGGGCTATTTTGGGGAGGTGCAGCCTCCCCCTGTTGCCCTTGGGGTTCCTCCGAGCCCCTTCCCCCTTTTTCTGCCCCCTAAAACACTCGACCGGCAGCAGCGACCCAAGAAAGCGCTCATCACCCCAAAAGGACCCCCAAAACCATCCCGAAACAGCCACTGTCACCCCAAAACCAGCCCCTACCCCCTCTCCCGGCGGTTTGGGGGGGACCGACACGGTTTTGGGGGGTCCCCACGCGGTTCTGAGGGTCTCTGCCTCCACCTCGAGCTTTTCGGGGGGTCCCCCCATCTGGGGAGGCTTTGGAGGCGCGGGCATCCCCTCGGTGCCCCCCAAACGTGGGCGCGGGGGGTCCCGGGGTGCGGGCGGGGGTCGCGGCGGTGCCGCAGCGGGGCCGGGGCGGTGACGGGAGCGGCACCGGGGCGGGGGGGGGGGGGTCGCGGCGGGACCGGGCGGGGGTCTGGGGGTGTCGGGGTGTTCCGGGGTGCTGGGGGGGGGTGATGCATCGCCCCCCGCCCCCCACCCTGCGGGTCCCATCCTGCGGCACGCTGAGCCTCCCACGCCGGGC